CGGAAGTTTCTGGAAAGCGAACAAAAACCTCGAGCTGTCCACCTGCATGTGTACGGAAGACACTGGCTGTGATGATAACTGTCAGAACCGCTATATGTTCTATGAGTGTGACAACGGTAACTGCAGGCTAGGCCCCGAGTGCGGTAACCGAAATTTCGAGGGCCTGAAGCACCGAACCAAGGCCGGAGGCAAGTATAACATTGGAGTCGAAGTCATCAAGACAGCAGATCGCGGATATGGCGTCCGCAGCAATCGTTCCTTTGAGCCCAATCAGATTATTGTGGAGTATACGGGCGAGATCATCACCCAGCTTGAGTGTGAGAGGAGGATGAGGACAGTATACAAAAACAATGATGTATGTGCCCTTTATCGCTCTTGGTGCTTTACTATTTATTAACTTCATCCACCAGTGTTACTATCTCATGTATTTTGATCAGAATATGATCATTGATGCTACTCGCGGGTCTATTGCTCGCTTTGTTAACCATGCCTGTGAGCCAAACTGCCGTATGGAGAAATGGACTGTCGCTGGCAAGCCACGCATGGCACTTTTCGCTGGAGATCGAGGAGTGTCGACGGGGGAGGAATTGAGCTATGACTACAATTTTGAGTGAGTCTATGCATATCAAGCCACTTGACGATGTGCTAATACTATATCAGTCCTTACTCTAACAAGAATGTTCAACAATGCCGCTGTGGATCAGCAAACTGTCGAGGCTTCCTTGGTCCACGGCTGAAAGAGAAGCAGCAACGTGCTAAAGAACTCGAGAAACGGAAGTCTGAAGGAACCCCAAAGAAGGCATCTCCAAAAAAGGTCATTGGCAAAAAACGAAAGGTCTCAGAAGAACCTGAGAGTGACGACTCTCGCCAAGGCAAAAAGCGCAAGACAATCAAGTCCAAGGCTAAGGCCAGCGTGAAAAAGGCCATGGCTACCGTTCGTGGGAAGAAGACAACCAAGACAACGGCAAAGGGCAAAGCCACTGCCGTCAAGTCGAAGACAAACGTCAAACTACCAACCATCAAAGCCACAGGCCGGATCAAGGCTACTGTCCGTGCTCCTCGATCTAACAAGAAAGCCAAGGAAACCCCGGCTTCTCCCAAGAAGACAACATCCCAGCTCAAGCGGCCTTCTGCTGAGACTAAGAAGCAGATTCTCGCTGCTGCTTCCAAAGGCTCCGGGACTTCTCCTCGCAAACCTGCGAAGAAACCCCCCTCCAAGAGCCCCATTAAGGCCAAGAAGGCCACCCCCAAGGCTAAAAGCACCAAAGGGAGCTTTGGCAAGGGAGTCAAGAGTGCTGCTCGGCGTGTTATGAAATCGGTCAAGGGAGCAAAGAACTGATAACTTCCGGTCAAGCTACGGTTGTTACCTCGTCTTTATGGGCTTTTCTGGACTTCGCTCGAAAGAACCGAATTATTGCCGCGACAGCCCATCTTTTTGTGACAATATCAGGTCTATCAACAGCTGAGAAGTAAACTTTTGAATCCCTTCGGCTTCTATTCTCTTGTTGACCTCGACGCTTTTATGACCTCTTGGTCCATTCTTTCTATTCTACTTGATAATTTTTCCCCCTCGGTAATCTTTTATTCTTTCTACTTTTGGCTAAAGATTCTTGTTTTGGCAAATTACCTCCGTGTACGACATCCCCCATTCCCCCTGAGATGGCGTTCTTCCCCCCACCGCCCCCCCTTTTATATTTTCTATTTTCGTTTGCATTTTATTTTTACTGTGGCTTCATGATTTGATATATGCGTCATGGTTATGAAAGTGAGAGATTGCTCTGAGTTTTGGTGATATAGGGTAGATGCCTCTTAAATTCAACATGGGTTTCCCTGGAATTCCTAGTGTAGATTAAGTCCATGTATCTCCAATAAAGACTTGGTTTATATATTCCAAGGTGACCTACGTTATACCCAGTGTAGAGACTTCACATACTTGATCATCAAACCAAATCTATTGGCAACTTGAAACTATCTAAGCCAGGGGAATCCATAAAAAAAAGCCTAATAAAAGCCAGTACATTCTTTTCATGTACGGCAAAACATAATCGAAACAAGCATCACGCAACTTTATAGAAAATTTACTGACGCTCCAGGAAACCCTGGCTCTCCAGAATGAGAATGATCTCGTGCACAATGCTGCGAACACTCTGCTTGGAGAAGTCCACAACGAGATCAGCCTTCTCAGGTGCCTCATAGGGGTCATCGACACCAGTGAAGCCCTTGATCTCACCACGACGAGCAGCAGCGTAGATGCCGCGCTTATCGGATGTCTCACAGTGCTCGAGGGGAGTGGCGACGTGGACCAAGAAGAAGGAACCAGCCTGGGAGACGGCGTCACGCGCGAACTTGCGGGACTCCTCGTAGGGAGCAATGGGGGCAGCGATGACGGCGGCACCGGCACGGGTAAGCTCGGTGGCCACAAAGGCAATGCGCTGGATGTTGGTGTGGCGGTCCTCGCGGGTGAAGCCCAACTCGGAGGAGAGCTCGTGGCGGACAGTGTCACCCAGCAACAGGGAGACGGAGCGACCACCCTGCTGGTTCAGAGTCACCTGCAAAGCACGCGCGATGGCGTCCTTGCCGGAGTTCATGTAACCAGTCAGGAAGATGGTGAAACCCTGGGTGGCGCGAGGGGGGTTGGACTCGCGCAGAATCTTGACAACCTCCGGGTAGGAGAACCACTCGGGGATGTGGGCGCCGGAGCGCAGACGACGGCGGAGCTCGGTACCGGAGATGTTGAGGGTCTTCACGCCAGCAGGGACCTGGTCGACGGGGCGGTACTCATCGGTGTCGGGGAGGTAGGTAACCATTTGGAATTCCACAACCTCGATTCCGAGCTCGGTCTTGTACTTCTCGACAGCGTGCTGGGCATCGTAGGGGCCGTAGAAATCCTCGCCCTTGGAGTTGGAACCAGGACCGGCGTGGTCACGACCGACAATGAAGTGGGTGGCACCATGATTCTTGCGGATGATGGCGTGCCAGATGGCCTCACGGGGACCACCCATACGCATGGCCAAACCGAGGAGACCCAGGACGGCCATGCCGTTGGGGTAGCGGGGAAGGAGAGCCTCATAGGCGCGGACACGGGTGAAGTGGTCAATGTCACCGGGCTTGGTGAGACCGACGACGGGGTGAATCAGGACATTGGCCTGGCGGGAACGAGCCGCGCGGACAGTCAGCTCACGGTGAGCACGGTGCATAGGGTTACGAGTCTGGAAGGCGACGACGCGGGACCAGCCCAGTTTGTCGAAGTGGACGCGCAACTCTGCGGGGGTGTCTGTGCATATTTGTTAGGCAGATTCAAGTGTGGATGGGAGAATTGAACATACAGCGGAGGGCGACATAGTCGTAGTGGTTCAGCTTGTTCACGGCCTCAATCTTGCCACCAATGTAAAACTCCTCGACGGACTTGTTCAAGTACACGATAGCCGGGTGCTCTGGATCACCGCCGAAGACGAGCTTAGCCTCTTTAGTCCTAAATTAGAGGAGACACCACGTCAGCGAGCCCCACTATAGAACCACATCGACTCATTGGGTAAAGATTCGAGGCGTTTTGACATCAAACAACCGAAATAAAGATAAAACAAGGCATCCAGGGATACAAAATAAGGATCGACAGTGCGACCCATTTTGAACGTCAAATTGAGAGAAACCAAGGAAACTCACTTGTCGGGGCGGTAAATGTCATCAATGGTAAGAATAGCCAAGTTACGGTCGTCACGGAAATCACGCAGGGTGATGCGGGAACCGGCCTGGAGCTTCTTCTCGTCGATAACCTTCTGGCTGGCATCGAGGGTAATGGGCATAGAGAACACATTGCCATCGGCAAGGCGGTTGTCCTCACAGACGCTATGCAGATTGTCAGCTGCCGCTGTTATAGGTGTTCGTCTAGAATGAGGGATTTCTCATTCCAATGAGATCATGCGTGTCACACACATACCGGTCGTAGTCTGCCTGGTTCATGAAACCTGCACAAGAGATTAGTTATTGCCCCTCTATGCACATGTCAAGAAAAAGAACATTTAAATCTGTCAAAAATGAACAATTGCACTTACCCTCTAGAGGAGAGAAACCTCCGTTCATAATCAACTCGAGATCACACAGCTGGCGCTCAGTGAGCACTACAGCGGGGAGAGTCTCGGCCTCAGCAGCGAGCTCGACCTGGCGGGGAGCATCACGAGCAAGAAGGTCCTTGAGGACACCACCATGGGGGGCGTTGGCCATAATGAATATAAATTGGCAAAAGAAATAAAAGGTAAAAGAAAGAATGTAGAAAAGAAGAGGAAGAAGCGTTGCTTATCAAGAAATTTCCATCTGGAGGGGGAATTGCACCATCCACATAGTCGTCAACAAGTGGGGACAGTGGAAGTCTTGGCTTTGGATTTCCATCGAGGGGGTTTTTTTTGTTTTTGATATTTTCATTATATTAGATACATTAGGGCTATTACATATATATTTCAAGCATATATAAAAGGGAGAAAAAAAATTACATAGTTTCATTATTATTAGTTATAATTTGTTATGATATATCTGAATCTTAGGATTATGGCTAATGTATGTTGTATGTTGTATATTGTACTCTGTACTCTGTAGGGATTTTCAAGTTCCAGATTTTCAGATCTTCAGGGGTAAATAGACGATCTCTTTTTAAGATCTTCATAGACATTTGATTCTAATCAACTTCTATACATTGAATACAACTTCAATTATATGTTGTATAGTATAACGCTATACAATGAAATCTAAAAACGTCTTAGCCTCAACGCCACATCTGCAGAGGCTAGGGTCATGTGACGTAGCACGTCACCTCCGCGCGGAATCACGACATTGTTCCAACTCAGGAAATGATCGACAGATATAAAATACTTCGATTACATAAGGAATTTCTTGATCCAGGTTGGAACCTTGGAAGGTTCCAGGCCTCTTATATTGTTGAATACCCCATATATAATTAAATTAACTCCTGGTATGAACACCCTATATACACTCTGTCCTACATATTGTCACTCAGCCTTCACCGTGCTATTGGGAAGCGTGATGGTCAATTTCTCAAAATCCACATCAAACGATCCCACCCTCATAGATGGATGAGTCGTGTTCGCATAGGAATCGAGCAGGTATCCTTGGATGTCCTCCTCCGAGGATAGAGCCGAGTCAAGGGAACCTGTCTTCTGCAGAATATATAACACCGCAATCCGAGAGAACCCAACAACATGCTCGGGGACACCGGTGGCAGTGGACTTAGACGCATTTGCCTCAGTGGAAGTGGATTGAATACCGACGTTGGTGGAGCTGCTCGTTGCTAACTCGGTTTGAGTGGGTTTGGGTGTAGCCGTAGCTGACTCGTTTGCCCCCGAGTCATCGTATAGGATACCGTTCATAGTGGCCTCGGAACGGACAGCTAGGACTGGTGTTGGGTCGCTTGTAGGGACGGATGGGACCGAGTCGGCTATCAGTTGTACAGATCGGCGAGCCTTATTTGTGTTCTCACTTGTGACATCGCTGAAAGCCACGAGCGCGTTCTCGGTCTTGCAGGAGACGTCGTTCATGCTGAAGAGAGCCATGATCGTGACCGGGTCGAGGGTGATGCCGAATTTCTCCTTGGATTGCTCGAACAGAGCAGGGAGTGCACTGCCCATAGTCGCGTTCGATCCGTTATCTATCAGCGCGGTGGTGCAGCTACCATCGCCCGCAATATTGCATTGTGAGCCAGTATAACCGTTCGAACAAACGCATGAGCACTCGGTGCCCCCTGAGACGCTCACGCCTCCGTTCTCACAAGGGTTCTTTTCGGCGCAGGTTGAGTTTGCTTTCTCGCGAGGCACGGCGACAAGGAACACAGGGAGAAGAACCGCGAGGATGACGACAATGAAGAGTGCGATGCAGATGAGTATGAAGATTTTCCGAGGCATTCCACAGCACATCTTCCTACGTCGGGGGGCATTCGGGTCGTCGTCACTGGAGTTAAGTTGCTCAACATTACGCAAGTTCGAGCGTCCAAAGAAAACGGGCCATGAGGCGCGGCCTTCAGGCGTGGCCAAACCAGGCGGGGGGAACGAGGCGAGCATATCCGATATAGAGCCGGAGTTGCGTTTTCGGCTCCCTAAACACACACACTAGTTAGTACTATGTCTGGATTCCACAAAGTGATCTGGATTCGAAAGACTCACCTTTCCCAGCCCTAAACTCTGCCTCGCCACCACCGGCCAGATCAGCTCGGCTGGCAGTTCTCCCATGATCTAGGTTCGTTGCGAGCTTTGTCGCCCTTCGGATCAAATCAGTTAGGCTGGAAAGGCTCCCACGAGCCTCTGCATCCCGCAATGCATGCATATTCAGAGCAGGAGGCTTGCGACCGCCAGGCCTGTTGTCACTCATCGTTGGTGCAGCTTGAGGTAGGTCTCCAAAGGCCTCGAGCTCTTTCTCGAGCCGTGCTTCGGAGGGCGAGTCGTACTGCTGCATAACGGGAGGCTTTTCAGGGTCCGGGCCTTCTAGTGATTCATTCGATGCTGTAGAAGTAGACGACTTTCGTAATCGACTTGGTGGATAGGGCATCTGACTTGCAGCTCCCATTCCCAAAGATCGTGCTACTGTGCCCTTGGTGGACTCCTCCGGGGTGGGTGCTGGCATGTCTACGACAGAAACAGGATTAGACTTGAGGATAGTACGCATCGTCGGCTTTCCTCGCTTTCCGATACTGGCATTTCGAACAAGCCTCGTATCATCCTCTTGCAAGCCCGGTGAGCGCTGGTCATCGTCAGAATCAATGTCGAGATATGCTCCTAGAATCTCAGATTCAGCAGGACCGGATCCCCAACTCGAGGGGATGGCTCGGCTCGATGCGACGGAGCATTTTGTTAAGCGAGAGTCGGCAAATTCTTCTGGAATAGGCGAAACAGATGATTGACGACCCCGAGGCCGACGCACATTGGGCGGTGCCACCAGACCTGCAGTCCGGCTTCTGGGGTCATCCGGGGAAAGACCGGATTCAATCGGAACAGTAGGCGGAAATCGGGGTACATCGGGGACAGACGGTGTCGACGAAGCCACAGACTGTCTGAACAAATCATCCGTTGCAATCGATATTCGAGGAGTCATGTCGATTGTGCTGGCGGGACTGGCAGGGGCATCATTTATCGGCCGGCGCGACTGCGCTAGTGGAGGCGGCTGAAGTTGTGAGAAGGAGCGAGGAGGTCTTTGGTTCGGATCCAATCTCTTTTCTGGGACTTGCCCATTCCGTTCCGAGTAAATAGACTGGATTTCACTGGGATGAGGTGGTCTCCGTGGCGGAGGACCGCGGGGAGGACCACGCGGAGGAAAATACCCAGGACGTTGATTGCTCGGGTTTGATGGGAGGCCCGAATCAGGAAGAGGCCATTGTGATTGATTGGGGATATTGCCGGGGACAGGCGGATGTCTCATCTGCTGGGGTGGCGAGGCTCGTTCTGGACGCACGCCGGCATCCAGCATCTGTCTGGCCCGCTTGACGGATCCCTTCCTGTTAGGCTCCCCAGAGGGCCCGGAGCTTGGTAAGTCTGTGTTCATTGGAGAGTCGTCTGGTCGAAAGAAGACTAAATAGAATGTCGGGGTGGATGCCCTTGTATAGTTTGCGAGAAGTTAGGGCTTGGTATCAAGCGTGGTGTGGTGCAACTGCAGTCCAAAAGAGAGATTTTATCTCTCAAGTATCGAGTAATAGGAATGAATGGTCTCGATACTTTGACCTAGTTTAAAAAGAATGAAAAGAGATCGAAGGATTCAAACGAAAGAAAGGGTGTCCAGTATCTACAAAGTCGTAGAAAGTGGATAACGCAAACGATCTAGAAAGACAAGATCCACAGGATCGAAGATCGTAAAAGAATGTAAAGGGCATTCAATGCCACTGTATATACAACATAGTTAGAGATAGTTCTAAATCAAGTTTTGCAAGACCTACCGTTCAAAAAGGGGAGAAAACGAGAGGAACGAAGCGCTAGTATCAAACTGGCGTTCAAGGCTAGACGGATTAGTCTCAGTCTTTTGACACACACAGACACCTGGGTCAACTTACAAAAAAAGGGGAGAGCCTCAAGCTGTGAAGTTGGGAAAAAGGAGAGAAGAAATGCCCCTTCACATGGTTCCTTGACATGGATAGTCCACTCAAACGGGAAGTAGATTAATACGAAAAACTTCATTGACTATTAGTCCTGTAATCTAAGACAGTACTCCGCACTCCGTACTTTTATATAATACTTTCCTGACTCTATTACATTAGATATCAAATCCCTATTCTGATGAGTATAGATCTTCTTAAGTACTTGATATATAGTTGTTCAATATCTTTTATAAAAAAGAAAAAAAAAAAAAAAGAGAAAGAGAAAGGTCAAGTCCTCGATGTGAGACCAAATTAAACGAATCACATCTCGATATCAGCGGGGTTGGACTTAGCCCCGGACGCTAACGTCTCATATTAATTCTCCTTTTTAGCAATTTGAAACAATTCTTGCTTATTATACTCCATACTCCGTATGTGAATAGTTAAGGGATTTAATCCAATGCTAATAACTATTTATACTGAAAACTTTAACCCTAGCTATATTGGCCCCTTTAAAAAATAATAATGTCCGGAGTATTATACAATTATGGTATTTCTCCAATCTGGGCTTTGACCCCCCATGTACAGTTCGGGGATGTGGAAGATATAGCCAATTTGATCCAATTTAAAGATTTATATTGTATGATTCCCAATTTTCACATCTGGTTACACAGGGGCTCCTTGGGATCTCAGGAATATAACTGCGACTTGTCAACATGGACCTTACGATTGGCAATGTTGGGACAAGATCACGGACTAGTTGCGCTTGCATCGGAAGATTCTGTTTCCAGCCGAGCCCGTAATTGGCCGATCTGCCGTTCCAGGGCTCGCATTTCGACCGTTGTACTAGCTAAATCTGGCACCTGATTGTCTATTGCATTTGCGAAACAGTCTTGCGCCCTCCGCAGCGACTGAGGGACCAATATTCCATACCAATGAATTGGATCGGCAGAGCGAAACTTCTTGGGGATGGCCATTGTTTTTTTAACCCGTTCATTTTCCGCAGTGTCAGAGGGTTGTAAGTTAGCCATCTCGGCCGGGCTAATTTTCTCGGTCTCGGAGGCCTCGGGCCCATCTAGGACCGTAGAGGCTTTGGTTTCATTGTTCCCATCGGCTTCCGGTGGATGACTAGGTGTGGTTTTGACGGAGAATGTGTATTCAGAATCAGGCGCACGGATATACTCTTTCTCTTGTGGATTGGGGTTTTCCGCGTCTCGTTCAGATTGGATTGCTCTGTCAATTTCGATTAGTTAACAAGTGTCAGTAATTCAATGACATCGGGTGAAGTTACATCTTTCTCGTTGCTTTCATGCGATCATCGTAAAAATCAGGACCATAGCGACGGCCAGGACTGGAGAAATTGGCCTGAGCGAGAGCAAAAAACCCCTACATTGTCTCAGCATATTTCAACCATCATGATCACACAAAGTCATACCGAAGACAGCTGTTCTGCCAAGCATGAATGTAATTTCTGCTGCCGATCAAGCAGGTGCAAGTATTGCTCCAGAAGTGTATCCAAGCATTGGACCGAATCCTCCAAAGCTACTGGCTTCACCTTCACTTCAGGTGCCTCCGAGCTCTGTCGTGACGCTGGTGGCGTGGGTATTTGAGTCATGGAGAGATCAAACACTCAAAAGGAATTACTTCAATTATGTGAACATGCAGATATGCAAATATCTGCGAAAAGTCGAGTTGAATAAATTGGAGCTTGAGATACAAAGAGATACAGAAGAAACGTGGAGCAAAGGAGCTCGGCCCCGGTAACTCCGTCATTCGTCTCCGAACCCAAAAGAATTTCCCACTTCTGTGCTTCTTCTCTCTCTCTCTCTCTCTCTTGCATACTCCAACCCACTATACATCTTCAATAAGAGCCTGCTACGAGAGATAATTTATCGGTCGCAGTGTGATTCGATTTTCCCGGATCTTTGACCCTTGCAAGATTGAACCGCCACCTTGGATTGCGTCTTTGATACGAGTCATTGCGCCCAACGTACGTGAACTGCAGGATACATCTCGACCATTGCACGAATCGTCGCTCTAACCTAGCGATATTTAGGCTGACTTTTTGCCGCGTCGTATCGATCGCGCAGCCACGGCTTCGGTGATAACCTGGGGTTGACCAAGCAGTCTTGCACCGCACATCTTCAGCTTTTTGACTTTTATTACCATTCGCATCATATCCCAGTCCTTATTCATATCAGCTACCATGTCTGTCGCGTCCTTGCATCGTGAGACTGCCTTCCAGGCACGATCTTTGGTATGTCTTGTCTCTATATGCGCTTCACCTCATGCGTTTTATGCTTAATACATCAAACTAACTGCGGGGTTTCCCCCTTTACTTTCTAGTTCCGCTCCCTTCTGCGCTATTCTGGGCAGTTTTCCAACTACAACTTCCGCGAATACGCTCGTCGGAAGACAAGGGATTCGTTCCGCGAACACCAAAACGTCACAGAGGAACGCCGGGTACAGGAACTGATCCAAGAGGGACTTCAAAGCTTGCGCTTGCTGAAGGTCAGTTGTATCACATGGCTTCGGGGGTGAAACTCGATGGCAGGATCTATTTTCAACGGATATTGAAAGTCGAGTATCGCCTTGCAAATCTGCCATACAACTCATTGAATGGGATAATTATACTGACATGATTACAGAGACAAACGGTCATCAGCCAGTTCTTCCAGTTGGACAAGTTGGTGGTGGAAGGCCAGAAGACAGTGGGTCATATCTTGATTTAGGTCTATCAATTGATACTCACATCTTCAAAGGGAAAGGAAACTGGGAACCATGGAGGTATTGTTCGCCAGAAGGACACTGGGTAAGTTTGAAGCTGCCTATTTTCTTTTGCATATGCTAATCTGTAATAGTTGGGATTAATTGAATGGAAACTTGTATTCCATTTTTGTTTTAACTTGCCAATGTTGCTGGTGGACTAATTAAACACCTCATTTTCTGTATTTATACACTCAGCGCTGCAACTGTAGCTATTTTTTTATGCACCAGAAACACCCCATTCCTCTCTTGAATTACAATATAAGTTGAAAACTGCATTGCTTCATATCAATTGAGGCACAATGTAGATGCTATACTATGTTTTTAATAAGGACGTATATCACGTGATGTCTCTTTACAGTCTGTAGCATCGCAACGCGACAGAGTGCTCCGCTACCACCCACTCACTCCACCACATTCCGTCACAGAATCCTCCTTGAGAGGTCCTCGCAAGGTCACAACCCTTCCTGATCGCACCTGTCTTTGAATCGGCATAGGGGCATCTGCCAACCATGCCTTCCACTGTACGTTTTAACTTACCCCGTGGTCATCTATCTTATCTAGCCCCGACCTACTTGCCTAGTCATCTCAATCATACTAGATCATAAAATGCCTGAATTAGCTAGCTAAATTATATCACAGTTCAGAGCCTCGCGCTCAGGGCGACACCTCGATGGTGCCCCAAACCGTACCCGCACCGGCCAAATCGATCACGATGTCTTTGAGGGATTGCCAGTGCGTCGCTGGTCCCGACAGCAGCACACCTTCTCTCAAGCGCCCAAGCCTGATGACTCGGAATTTGGTGTTCAAGGTCCAAGCGGAGGACCAACGCTACCAGAGCTCCCCATGCCGAGGGACAGCCAGCTCTTGCCGCCAATCAGTCGCGCACTCCTTCGTGCAGCCCGTGCTGGATGTGTCCATATCCGCCAAGGCACTCGAGCAGCTGATGATGAGGAGAAAAGCGTGGCGGATGCCGAAGACTCAGCCTCGGCATCTCACATGGTCGATCGGAGCTTTACAACTCGCAAATGGATGACACTTCCCAAACACCTCGAGCCTGCGGAGGTGGAGTTTTTGGCAAAGAGGCGACCTGGTCTTCAATCCCTTTATGGTGCCACTGCTGGTACAGATGGAAGCTCTTCGGGGCCCATGAGGAGGACGAAGTTCAAGAAAGTTGATCCTGAAACAGGCAATATCTCTATCTACGAGGCATGGGTGCCCGAGGGCCATCGCATCGAAGGAGAGATCACTGGCGACTTACAGACGATTGCCGAGCAGAGCCAAGTGTCTGTGAAGCCCGAGGCGCCTGCACCTGGAACAGTCGTCGAGGGGGTCGGCATTGTGAATGCTGAGGGTGTTGTTGTCGCGGAGGCTGGATCAGCAGCTGTAATGACACCTCCAAAGCGACGTCCACCTCCACCTAAACGAAAGGGCAAGGGCATTGGAAAGGGTCGGAAGAAGAAGGTCATGTTTGCGCCTGGCGAAGGAGCTGATGCCGCGACAGTACATGGAGGTGGTCCCGCTAGTGGCAATGGGGAGGGAGGCGTCAATAGAGAAGGCCAGCAGCATGCTTCGCACATTGACCAAGCTGGTCAGGATGAAGATGATGAAGACGGCGACGAGGGCGACGAGAGCGACGACGGTGACGATTCCATGATGGACGCGAAGACTCCTGATACCCCTCAGCCTCTGTCTGGCGCAGAGTCTGTGGATCAGCCTTCATTCGAAACTCCCGTCTCGCAGTCAGTTGATGTTGAGATGTCAGATGCCGTTCCTGAAAGCCAGCCTCCTGCCCCCGAGATCTCTTCATTAAGCGAAAAGGAGAAGCAAAACCAGCCGACCGATTCAGGTGCATCCCAGCCTGAAAAGACCCCAGAGGTGAATTTCGGTGCCCTGACTTCTAATGTTCCCTCAGAGAAAGCCGAGGTTACCGGTTTGAATGAGAAGCCTGTCATTTCGGAGTACGACAAGACCCCTACTTCTCCCACTAGAACTGCCGCAACTACAGGTGAACCCATCGAGCCTTCAGCTAGAGTGAGCACGGCTCAAACCTCAGATACCAAGGTGCAAGGGGAAGAAGAAGCCATAGAGCCGATGTCTAACCTTGCACCAAAGGAAGAACCTGCTCTCACAAGCCAGCAGGATAACGGCATTGCTCTGCCAACTGCCAGCCCCGATAAATCCCCAGAAATCCCAGTAGCACTACCTCCGACCCAATCGCATCCACTGGAGCACCCAGAACCCGGGCAGACCGCAGTGTCAACCGATGCTTTGGCTGAGACTCGAGAATCTCAAAATATTCCATACGAGTCCGTTTCCCATCCCGCCACGCAAGAAAAACCCCCGGTAGCTATCGAGCGCGAACAATCCACCCCCTCCGACCCTTCTGGGCCCGGTCTACACCCGGAAGAAGCAAAAGATGTTGAGATGGGAGACGCCCCTGCACTAGAAGAAAGCCAATTGCTGGATGCACAGCCTCCCGCAAACCAAGACTTTCCTCAAGCACTACCAACCGCAGATAATCAACTGCCCAAGCCCACTACAGCTGCCGCAGACCCCAATCTACTAGAGAAACCAACACCCACCGCAGACGAAGGAACAGAAGCGGCAATCGCCACGAGTGTCCCTGACCAGAGTGTCATCACCGAAGCAGAGACGCGCGAAGACTCTCGGTCTAGGGAAGCTAAGGAAGCCAACGATGAACTCGAGCAGCACCCAGATCCAATTGCACATTCGTTGGAGTCTACGTGAACCGCATCTGAGGTTTCTCTTTTTCCTCGGCAACCTAATGTACGATGAATGGCATTTGGTTTTTGTCTATTGCCCTATTGGTTTGTGCTTTTATATTTGTGGACAGGCGTATGGCTTTTTAGGATGATGGATCATCGTGCATCATAGTGTAGCACTACATAGTTTTATGCTTCAATTGGTACTTTTTTTTCTCTCGAATTCACTCCGTTGATTCATGCTTTCTATATCCCAAGGGGCTTTTGTGTAACGGGCATTTATCATACGGATGTCATGTACGAGGCTACAACTACGGTAAACCTACAGAGATGAGAAGAAAGTACATGTAGCAAGTATTGTTTTTCAATGTAATCAAACAGCAAAGTAGAGTTAGAAAAAGGCAAAGTTACTCTGTACAAATTTTTCCTGAGAATAGAAATTACCAGACAAGTTGCCCGATATCCTTGGAGATTTCCCATCCATGTGCCATTGCAACTCTTCTGTAGGCTTCCACCGCCTCACCCACTGAATAGTCCCCTGGAGAATGTAGGTTCAGGCGCGCAGGTTTCGGATCGGTGTTGGTAATAGCCATGCGAACCTGCAATAGCACACTTTCAATTGAAGCCGTCGGTAGCCAGCCAGAGTGCGTAAGCAGTTCCATGCACATAGAACCACCGGCGGTAACGTGCCCGCCGCCTCCAGCAGCGAACTCAAGGAAACGAGGACGGATGACTCGAACAAGGGGTGGATCCATGGGGAATTGTTGTGGGAATCGGAGCTCCAAGACAATGCTTTTTTGATCAATGGCTTTGAGGTCTTGTGCCAGTGGGAGGGTTGGGTCAAATGTATGTAACTCCACGATCCACTGGTAGACCGTCGTAATCAAACTGTGGTCGACATACCACCCGAGCTCGTGGAGTGGCACTTGCTCCTGGATTTTGAGGGTAGCCTGAAGATGATGTTGCAGCATCTTCGTGGCTGAGGTCGTTGCAAACTGGGGTGGAGAAAGTGTAGGCAAAGAACTGTCCTGCAGGGTTCCGGGTCGAAAATCAGTCTTGAGCTCAGGTTCCGAAACAGCTCTTTGTTGCATGCTGAGAACTTGGAGACCTTCACACATTTCATCGTCGGATAAAAGAATGCTGAGGTCTTCCATAGTCGTCTGAATGCTAACGTTATCGTCATTATCACATTGTTCAGTACTCTCGACCGAACATTTGCGTCTCTTAGGTGACTCCACAAGGGACACAGTCCCTGCTTCCGTAGCAGCAGCACGAAGAATTGCCCCCCGTTGGCCGCTGAATATCGAGAGGGGAATGCTAATCGGGCGTCCGCTGGGTCCTGAAGCCTGATAACGTTCATCTTGTTCGTACAACAGGCTTTCATCATGTTTGTAAGATGATGACTGTGATTTCGAGCTACGTACACCCTTGTATGTAGAGGCATACATTGGCCCCGCCGTGCTGCTGCCAGGTACTGTCAAATCTTCGAGCTTAACGAAAAGGAATCTTGGCTGGATCCAATCTAAGTGTTGGACGACGTAGTGTGGAGTCTGAGCAACAAACTTTCGGGGAGCATTGACGACCTCGTTCAGTGAAAGCACCGTCGAGAGCCTCAGTCGGTTATCGGCGGCGTACCACATGGGAGGAGGTGAAGTAGTGTATCCTAATGCAGTGTAGAAATTGTTTGACATGTAAACGCCATCACCACAGGCGCGGCCATGGGCAATGTGCTTGAAGTGAAACCCCTCACGTAGAATACTGTGCCAATTATTCACAGAGCTGCCGTGCCAAGCGAATATTGTAGGGTGTTTGGGATTATCGGGCAAGGAATGTAAATTGACAGCGTCGATAAACCGCTGCTCTTTGTCGGCAGCACCTTGAACAAGTCTGAATTGGATGTAACCGCACGTTCCGAGTATCTGACTCCCAGCTTTATCGTCATCCTCTTTGATGAAAGACCGATTCGAAGCGACGACCCAGCGTAAAAGGTCCAATCCAGCAGGAGATATGACGTCCTTCCATGATGAAAGAAGCTTGCCCCTTTCATGGCTTTCGATAAAGGTTTTCATTTCCTCAATAGTAGGGAGCATGCCCAATAGACAAGAAATCATCCGCTGTTTTTGGAATGGTGCCAGATCATCCAGGTTGGTGTCGTAAACGACAAGTTTCACTTCTTGAGGCGGAGCCTGTAGGTCTTCTGGCTGCAGTTGATGACCTTCCTTAATTGGTAGTGAGAAGAGAATATGATTCGAGGTCTCACCGACGTGTTTAACACGACAATGCCATTCTTCTGTTTTTTTTTCTCCGACAATGATGACAATCCAATCACCAACTTTGACCGGAGTTGGCTTTTCCAACTGAATCTCAAGATTGGTTGCATTTAATCGCCCAATATAACGCGCAGTACGATCTGCATCTGTTTCTGCGAACAATTTTGCAGGCACGCGTAACCGAAGACCAGTAGGGAAGTCTTCAACTATGCTGGAAGCCCTCACGTATGCCAGGCTGGTCAGCACATCAACGACAAATGGCTGGGAGCGGATCTCATATTCAAGGCTTGGGCCCAGGCCCAGCGCCATGTATTGATACAAGCACAGCTCGTTGGAGCAGACATATGGCTTCAGTGCTTCAAAGGTATCACCAGTCTTGCAGTGACAAACTAGGCAGAACTCCGTGCATTTGATAAAATGGCGTAGGCTAAACTGCATGGCAAGAAGAGGCAAAGACAAATTAGAAATATCACGATCCGGCTCAGTGAAATGATCGGCTGCAAGGATGTCTTGCGTCGAGGTAGCCCAGTTGTCCGACTGATAATACTCGGGAGAGATCTCCGAGCTGTCATGAATCCTGCCTTGGTTGGCCTGGAAGAAAATCTCTGCCCCTGTCCATGAAAACCCATACTGTAGTCGAAGGTTGATGATTCCAAGCAGTCGTTCTCCGAGAAGTAGATTGAGCGATCTTCCAATGAACAGCGGCCTGAGAAGATAACCACACATTGTTTTGTCCGAAGTTGTAGTTATTCCTGTCGTCTGTTGATCCTGTGATCCGTTTATGACGTCTACAGCATGCTCGAATGATGGCTTGTATGAATTACAGAGGCCAACATGCATCTGGACCCGTATGTTCTTTGAATCACCTGCTGTCTCGATAACTGTTTGGAGATCAAGATAGGTCGGCCGATAGCGGATCAGCAATACCAAATACTCCGAGGGCTCAACACTCCAGGCATTCATAGCTTCCTCGGAAATTCCAAGCTTAGAAATGCGGCAAGAGATTGATACAATGATGATGCCATGTTTTGATCCCAGGTATCCCACTTTGAATCCCGCGTTTTTGACCACACGAAGGTCGCGGCAAATCTTTCCCCGTAGCTCACTTTCACTTTGAGTGGGTGTAAATATTGTGCTTTCATTATCAAGATCCCAGTCAGGCTCGGTGTCATTGCCAGATGACTCATCGTCGTTGAAGTCAGGAGTGCCTGGGTCCTCTGGGTGACTGAAAGCCGAATCAGGATCGACCATAGAGTTGGTGATAATCTCCTCAATGTTGCTCAACAAGTCATGGATTGTTATGCTTGTGAAAAGGGGCACCGCATTTTCCAGGGAGGAGGTGACTAGCTTAGGACAGTTCTCGGACGACGAGAAGACCAAAAAGCTATGGTCCTTGGGATAATTCTGCGAGTCTGTTTGTGCGTTAGCAAGAGATGAGAGCCTTGAAAGACGCTATGAGCTATTATATTCTTTACCTGAGACTATGGCCTGGAGGTCAAGGGTGAGACTTGCCTCAGGTGCTGTGAATGTGAAGGCAATTGATTCATCGTAATCCCCTGTTTTGATATCGGACAGACAGGAGAACCGACCAGGAATTGCCGCATCTGCAATATCTTGCAGAAAGGCTTTGTGTCCCATTGTACGATTTTGCTGTGTTGAGGACTTGAAAATAAAGTGATAGAGGACAAACAATGAGACACAAAAGTGATGAAGGAGTGAAGCTTGAAGCGTGTCAACGAAAGAAACAAGGCAAGAAATAAAAAGAGAAGGTGTAAAACGAATGAAGAATACAGATCAGGGAATAGAAAAGGAAAAAGGAAACAACGTGGAAGCCAAATGGAAAAACATCCTGGGCAACTAGGCAGCCTCAGGCCCTGAATGTGGATTAGCCCCACTGTGGACTATCTAATCGTTATCTAATCGCGTAGATCACCTGTCTTGGCGTTGGGTCCACTTCTATACTACATGTACAACATGTATGTCGCGAGCTTCAACTTCAGAGCATGCCTACCGACACACTCTTTTACTAGCGTCACACTATACCTGTGGATGTTAAATTACTTTAGGCGTGTTATCTGCTGGTCGCAGTTTTCAAAATATCATGTAAAATATTATGGGTATCTCTATACAGTATGTAGGAAGTATTCCAAACCGACATAGCTACAGTCACACTGTAAAAGTATTAGTACCCCAGATCAATATTCTGCTAGCAATTGAATATCCATCAAATCAAGACTTGTAGAAATATGGTGGTATACCTTTAGGGAATTGTTGCTCGCACTTGATTGTTCAGTACCGCCTTTCTAATATTTAGGTGGGATGCTTGGTGAAAGCCAGAAAAGAAAAGAAAATTTTGTCGAACGTGATTCTCATGCGTATAACCAGCCAGCGAAAGGAGATAGGAGGCCATATTGATGCTGATTTCGATGATTTTGATGGAATTGATGAAGATATTTATGACAAAATGGGCAGAAGAAGGCAGGTTGATGGATATAAACTAGAAGTCAAAGGTTATATATAGAAAACTCATTTTCACAAATTAAGCCTTTTTCTATAGTGATATCTGAGAAGCCTTCTGAAGATACATTGAAAAGGCCACTAAAATGACCATTGAAGAGACCATTGAAAAGACATCACTAGGCCGCCTATGCGGCTGACTATTCTCATAGAACATTACTTAGTTTGATCTAGTCTATATGACAAAAGTAGCTTGATTCTAGAGCGTTGTTAACCGCCCCATTCCTAGGTGAATCCTCGCCCCTGATTTTTCAGGTCTTCCTAATCAAGTGCGACCAGGAATCCATTCTACCATAATCTCTGCCACTCTATTATTATATTGCCATATATTCTGCCCACTCTTGCTTTATATAGTCAAAAAAAAAAACAAAAAAAAAAACATGCATTTGAATCAGAAAAAGCCCGTACATTCCACTGGTTTCTTTATTGATTTACTCTACAAATTGATCATCCTACTTCTGAGGTACCTCTCTGCTACGTTCTGTTTGTTCTTATGGCCTACCTACGTAGCGCCCCCAGGGCCGGTTAGATGCCCTTATGTAATCCCTTAGGAGCTTGAGGTCAGAATACAGTACCCTGTCATAAGTCACGTGTTGTATGACCAGGACAAACAGGACAAACAATTATCAAATCAACAAGTCCAGATACTAAGGTTTCAACAATCTCTTAACATTTTTGGCAATTCAATCATGTTGCCTCCTCGAAGTCCTATCGGTCGAATACCGAATCACCTTCGACCCACTCATATACCTCGGATCTCCTATCCCAACGTTCATCTCCGACCATTCACCCATCGCACACGCCTACTTCTTCTTTCTCCAGCGCCGGGTCGCCCTCAACTGCCCTTCTTATCACCACTTGCGCCGACCCGTCCACTTCCACCGCTATCAATCCATCTCCGCCAACATTTTGGTCGCTTAATATCTACTGAGAGCCGAGAGCATTACAAGCGAAGGGTATCACGAGGCGTCAAGATCGGCCTATCGGTATCCGCCATCCTCGTATTATTCTCCGCAATACAGCTCGGGGTCTACCAAGAAGACATCGAGCATTCATGGCCCACTCCACCGGAATGGTCTTGGAAAAGCCGCTGGTGTCTGCGATCCGCGCAGGCACTGCAGAATCCGGAGCAGATCGGCAAGTTGATGACGAATTGGCCCATGGTCGCTGGGTATCTTCGTGAGCTGCTAGAGCGTCTGGAGAACCTAGAAGGCGAAGGCAAAGGCCTCATAGAACAGGATGAGGGTGGGTTTCTGGTCGAAGGTGTCGGCCGTACTGGGTTCGATGTCTCCGCAAAGAGCGAGCCTTGGCGCCGTGGATATTTCCAGGCCCTGATGGGCGCTGCCAAGGCTGCTGAGAACCTAGATGGCTGGTTGACAGATCGCAAGCAGAAGATATCCGCACCTGCGGAATATGTTGTTGGACCCTCAAATCCTCGGCCAAAGCCTATGCCCGCTGGCCAGAAGAAGGTCCCGCGGGAAGAGGATTGTGAGCAGGCGTCTCCGTCTCCGGAGCGATTTTACATGAAAGTCTTGACAACCAAGGGATTTAACACAAAGCAGAGACTTGATGCTGCCTTGGCCTATGCCGATTGGCTTGATTTCAAAGGCTTGGGCCTTACGGCGGGTGACATGTATACGTGGGCCTTGGACATTGCTGCTAGTGGGCTGGAAGGAGATGCTAGCAAGGTTGTAGATTTGAAGAACGGCCTCCTGAAGAATAACAGCGGAAACCTACCTTCAGAGAACATCCTCCGTGTCTCCACAGCCCTCGCCGTCCACAATGCTCGGCAAGGCAACCTTCCAACAGCTTTGTCCCTCTTCACATCGGTTCTCAAAGCCCGACGCAGCCTCCCTCTGTCATCAGACTCTGATATATCCACCTCTTTTCCGACTCTGCCTAGATCTAACAATGACCCATTCGCTTCCCTCTTCAAATCGCTCAGAAATGTCCTCATCCCTGTGGAATACCCCGAACCCCCGCCATCAGGCGACGAACCCCCACGTCGCACCGCAGCATCTGCCTGCGAAGAAGCAGGACTGATGACCTACATCGGCGAGATCTTGTACGCCTCCTCGTCAAAGGAATCTGGACTTGCCTGGACGCGTGATGCAGTCGACATGGCCGAGTCCACGATGCTCGATCTCAGCAATTCAGCCGACCGCAATGCTCGGACTCGCTGCGCACAGTGCCTGAAGGTTGGACTAGAGAATTGGAAAACCATGGTCTCTTCCTTTGTTACCCGTGCTCGACAAGAGGAGCAGGAGAGCAGGGATCAGGCCAAGGGTGCTTGGTTTGGCGGCGAGCGCCGTGCAGAGGCGAAGCGTCTTGATTGCCGACGTTGGGAGGCCGAAGATGCCATTCTAGAGGATCGGATTCGCCGCCTCTTCCCTCTCCTCGAGGGTGAGTCTGGGCTGGATCTCCTCGCTCCAAATAGCTCTTTGTTTGTGTAGTTTTAATTTAATCACATTCGTACCTATATCAAACCTTCTCAAGCTTTATGGAGCTACAGCATAGCGAAATAGGCAAACCGGCCTGAAGTAGAAGTATCGACTACTGTGATATAAATATGCCTTTCCTATCATTGACTGTGGGCCAACTCGGCCAGTCTATACCATAAAAGACAATATATGTTTATTCGGTAAGTGAATCATTTCTGGATGTTATGGTTCTTTCTGTCTGGTGCATGGGCTTGGGCCATTCGAAAAGCACGCAGTATCTACGTAGCAGGGTAGACAATTACGATAATCAACCGACGCAGAATAGGAAGTAGGTTTTGAGACCAGTAGGTAGAGAGACGAAAGAAATAGGAGCAAAAATGAACGTTGAGTAGTACATAGTAGGTTTCGCCTTATTCTGCCAACTGGACCTTCAGCTTCCCAAGCATTTGACTGTGTTTCAAGCTTAAAACAACAGTGTAGTATATGTACATGGAAAACCCAGTCCTGGCACGTACTCAATGATTTCCTGGTCGGATTCGAAGGGGGATTCTCGAGTATGCGAAAAGGCTGCAAGCGACCTAATTTAGGTGGCCTTGTCCTTGTTGTGGTAGTTGACATCGGAGTTCCAGCTATAGATGATGAGTTAGATCTGATTTCAGGGGGTGATCTGGTGGTGAGAGAAGATCATGCGATCGCTTGGACGCAAATCTAAGAATGCAGACCATAACTATTCTGCAAAACAATACATAGTAGGTGGTGCGGTCGGGTAAGTCGGAACTCACAAGATGGTCTATTACAGGCATAGATTAGTTTCAGTCTTCAGCATATAGAATAATTGCATTCACATACCTTATCACCGTCTCCCCAAGGGAAGTTCTTTGTGCGGATGTTCTGGTAAGGGTACTCGGTGCGCTCCTCGAGCGGGGGCATGTGCTCCCAGTGCTCCCAGTGCTCGGACCAAAGGTTGTAAGCATTGAGGCCGCCACCAATCAGACAGGGGATCACAGCACTGTGAGTAATTAGATTTTTTTTCTGTTGGTGAGGGCGTCAATCAAGGATTGATCTGGATTGGAAACGTACAAGATGGACAGCTTGCGCCAGAGGTCTGTACAATCATAGGATCAGCAACAGCTTTTGTCTACAGGCAACAACCATGGGGTGAATCAATTGAGTTTAGTTATGGTGGTACGTACCACTGGTAGAGGCAGCATGGTGCTTGACAGCAGCTCTCTCGCGGTTGAATTCGTTGTCGACGATCCAAGAAGGCTTAGCCTCGGCGCTGTTGAAACGGCGCTGCATAGTGGAGCGGACGGGGGCGGAACGCATCTGCTGCGAAACACGCTGGGACAGGCGACCAAGATTGCGCTGAGGGAACATGGTGGATGATGTTAAGGAATTCTTTTGGTGGTGGAGGTCAAAAGTGGTGCGATGAGGTCCAAAGCCGTCTTTAGCGCATCCCCGTGATCTCCCGGATTATGTAACTAACCTGATGTCATGAAGCCTGATATATCAGGCAAAAGTAAGCATTGATAGTCACGTGGGCTGTTTGGATATATATGTATGGATGTCAGACTGCACGCTCCTCCCGCAACTGTAACCTAGATTGACTCAACTTTTTCTATTTGTATCCCAACCTCTATTGAACATCTGTATCACAAAAATGCAGCATTGTCCCCTGTAATAGCGTCCAACATGGGATTCCGCATCACCACATGGAACGGTAAGTTTTATCAGAGTCGTAGGTGGCAGTTGAAGTGGTAAATATATACTAACGACACATAATTTTCTAGTCAATGGTATACGGTATGAGAAGAAACTGATGGTTGAGCTTGTTCAACACTAATATAGTAAACAGAAATCCGTTCTCTTATGAGCCATGGAGAGGAACGCGCACATTCGAGGTAAGCGTGTATCATTCCATTTTCCGAGTATGTCTGCTTATTTAGCCCAAAGTCCATGTTTGATATACTAGAGGCGGACATTGTAGTTCTCCAAGAAACCAAGATTCAGCGCAAAGACCTCCGTGATGACATGGTCTTGGTTCCAGGATGGGACTGCTATTTCAGTCTCCCTCGAGTCAAAAAAGGTAAGCTACTACTCTATAGGTCTTTATGCAGAACATTAACAAACTTTAGGATACTCGGGTGTTGTGATTTACACGCGCAATGCCACTTGTTCTCCTATAAGGGCAGAAGAGGGCATCACTGGAGTTCTCTGTCCACCAAAATCCTCAACGTCTTTCCGTAGTCTTCCGGAAGAGCAACAGATTGGCGGATACCCAACATCCGATCAGCTTTACAGGCCCGCTATGAATCCTGAAGCGCCTGGTTCAGAAACGAAGCAAGAGGAGGCGAGCTCGGTACCTGAGACCAGAATAGATGCGCCAACCCTCGATTCCGAAGGGCGCTGCGTCATTCTAGAATTTCCTGCATTTGTCCTTATTGGTGTATATTGCCCTGCCTATCGGGATGAGAGTCGGGATAACTTCCGTATAGACTTTCTCAATGCCCTTGATTCTCGAATTCGCAACCTGGCTGCGATGGGGAAGAAGGTGGTCGTGACTGGGGATATAAATATCTCGAAACAGGGCATTGATGCCGCTCATGGAATCGAGGCCATCCGAAAAGGTACGATGACTCAAGATGAATTTGTATCTGGCCCTTCTCGGCGTCTATTGAACCACTTGATATCGGATGGCGTGGTTATCGGCGAACGTGATAAAGGCAGGGAAAATCCTGTCCTCTTCGATGTCTGCAGGTCATTCCATCCAGATCGTACAGGCATGTATACATGCTGGGACCAGAAACTCAATGCTCGACCAGGAAATTACGGCTCAAGGATTGACTATATACTGTGCAGCTTGGATATGCAGAACTGGTTCTCCGACTCAAATATCCAGGAAGGATTGATGGTATGGCCTTCGCCCCTTTGTATTGTGAATTATCGATTGACTGCTTTATAGGGATCAGATCACTGTCCTGTATATGCTGTTTTCAAGGAGTCTGTAGATCAACATGGAGGCGAGGTAAACATTCGCGATATTCTCAACCCACCGGGAATGTTTCACTATGGCAAGCGTCAACGGGAATACTCAAATGAGTGCGTATTGTCAGCTTCGGGACGTTTGCTCCCCGAATTCGACGTGGATAAGCGCAGAAGTATCAAGGACATGTTTGCTCGCAAACCAACCAGCATTCCGTCGAATTCGGCAGAACTAGCCGCTACACTGGCTAACATACCCACGACCCAAGCCGCGAGATCTACAGTCATGCACACAGCCTTCGGATCCGCTGACTCGGCCAAAAAGGGCTCTGCACCTACCACTGGGGGAAACCAATACTCTCAGACTGTTTCTCGCAAACGCATTCAGCCTCTACAAACCACATCAGCGAAACGGCCTAAGTCAGCCGTATCGACGTCTTCCGGGGGCTCTGCGGCAGGCCAAAAGACATTGATAGGCTTCTTTAAGCCAAACCCCGTCAATGTATATGAAGCTTCCCGGTCGCCCATTGCTTTACCAGGTTCCTCGACACCATCACTTAACCAGAAACCATCAAAATCACAACAAGAGAAAGGGGAAGCTCTAGAAGTCAACCTGCAGCCTTCAGTGCCCCAAGAAGACACCATAATAAAGGACGCCGACACTTCTACTGAATGGCTGACGGCCAGCAACTTCACTGATGACACAATAATTGACCCGATTGTCAGCAAGGAGGACTGGTCAAGGCTTTTTACCAAAAAGTCTGCTCCAACGTGCGATGGGCATCAAGAACCGTGTATCAGCTTGACCACGAAGAAACCTGGAATGAATCGTGGCCGATCCTTTTGGATTTGTCCCCGGCCATTGGGACCCAGTGGAGAAAAGGAAAGGGGTACGCAATGGCGGTGTTCTACATTCATATGGGCTAGTGATTGGAACTCACCGGCTGCAACGCAGGAGCAATGAAATACATGTCCTAGGAAGGGAATATCCCTTAGTGGTCAACAAATTTGCTGGATATTGCACAGCTGGGTATTAATTTGAACTGTTATGGCTGATATTCATTGATCATATTGTCAGTGGGCTTAGTTAGAAACCATACGCTGCTTTCCTAGATTAGACATGTATATATATATTTATGTATTACATGAATGTAGACGGTTCTTTCCGAGGTCTCTTCAAATGTTGTTCCAACAAAATACGCCTGTTAGCGAGCAAGAAACTCAGTAACGCCATTTGAGATATCATGTACTACTTATGTGCCCAAATAGCAGCATGCAACGGGCAACCAATGGCTTAAGGTTTACTCAAGCCTTCTAGGTCCTGGCACCTGGGCTACTTTGGCTCTGAAGCTTTTGACGTTGGCAGTTTACAATCCCACCCCCCTCCCCTTCTGGTTCCTTTCTTTTTTGATTGGCTGCCAGTTTCTTTGTCCTTCCAAAGTTATTGTCCTTATCGTGTGAATTGTTTCTTTGTCTTTGGTTCTTTTTATTTATTGATCTACATTTTGATTGGATGCCTGCTCCTGGATGATTTCTTTCTGTTTAATTTTTAATTTTTGATTTTTAATTTTTAATTTTGATTTTAATTTTCTTTTTTTCTCCTTTTTTCCTTTTTCTCCTTTTTCTTTTTTTCCAATTTCTTTCTTTTTTTTTTTGTTTTTTTGTTTTTTTGTTTTTAGTTTAATTAAACTAATCACGTCATTTAATATTCAACTTGATTTCCTTTTTTGTACTAGTAGGGTGCTCGTTTGATTTTTTGTTTACCTCGCGTTGCTATAGGTTTTGAAGACAGGTACATTTTGAGCAGGTACCCTGTCAACACGGTGGACGAAATGGATATTTGTGTTACTCCCACTCCAATCATAGCTTTGATCGTTATTTCAAAACTGATATTCTCTACACAATTAGGAACGGACTCACTAGTATACAGCTAGTATGTATTTTGTGTAGACTTCGATATATTTTAAGGTTATGGGTGGCTGCGGACGCTAACACCCAGATCTGCAGGGCCACCACGTGCGGAGATCGGGAAGATCCACTCACCCGTCCAACTACATAGGTAGCTACATATATCTGTCGTAGCACAAATATAACACAGATCGAAATCATATTGTGACAACTTAATACAATATAATAATCTAGTAATTATTAGCATCAGGGATAAAGAAGCCATTTGCCAAGCAATATGTTGTTATGATCCGAGTAGCCCAAGTCAACATGCAGGTATGACCTGGTTGTCGAAATGGTACTTGACGCCAAAGTAACGTTCCCCTGTAGGCTTACCCCTCCATAATTGACTTTCTTTGTTCTCCTGGTACTATTCCTAATAAAGAAGCTTTTCCTAGGATGAGCCCATGTGGTTGGTGTTGGTTGCTAGGCAAACAAAGAAAAACATGTTTGTCACCTGTCACTATGATTGGTGTTGCCGCAAAACAAAGAAATTACCCAATTCGTCACCCACCTTATTTCGAAGCCTCCGTTTCTCTGCTCTATTTAAACCCCCCTCCCGCATTTATTCTTCTTTTCTTTCTTCCTTCTCCTCTCCCCACCCTATTCTCTTTTCCTTTCACCTCACACCCAAATCCTCTATCTTACTGTATTTCCAGTAACAATCACTGTTTACACCACCTTTCATGATGACGAACCCCTTCTTGGAGTTCGTTGCTGATGGTGACGAGATGTCTTCTCGTCGTAGCATGGAGCTTCTTTGGGCAGATGCCGTCTCCCATCTTCCTCAGACCAATGGTCAGGTTTTCCTGCCTCGCAATGTCGTCGAGGACATGATTGAGAAGAATCATCTTGAGGATATGGCCCTTCGTCTGGCGTAAGTCTTGATTCTAAACCTATCTGGACTATGTTATTAACAAGTTACAACAGATCTATCCACAACAAGCGGGTTCAGATTGTCCTTGATGAATCCATGGATGCCTACCGCTTGTTCCCCAAGGAGTTGAACGCTGAGCGTGACGAGGACTTGGTGTCTGACCAGCATGTGATTGAACTTAACGAACACGTGATGCTCACCAATTCGATCTTCAACGCCGATGATCTGAAGATTCCTGTCCGACCTGCGAAAATTCCTCGCCCTCCCAATTGCTTCATCTTGTACCGACAGGCAAACCATCACTTGGTCAAGAATGCCAACCCTGGTCTGTCGAACAATGAAATCTGTGAGTTATATCCTCTGTTTACGTTTGATTTTTAGCTAATGAATGTATCAGCCCGCATCCTCGGCGCGCGCTGGAACAATGAGACCCCCGAGGTTCGTCACCAGTTCACCCGCTTGGCCAACGATCTGAAGCGGGAACACGCCATTAAGCATCCTGATTACCAATATGCCCCTCGCCGCCCTGAGGATCGCAGACGCCGCACTCGCCCTCGTGCCGCTGCCGCTATCGCTGCCATGGAGTCTGACCCCACTGAAGAGTTTGATGAAAATCTGATCCCTATCGACGACGAATTCATGTCAACTCTGAGCGACACTGATATGCTCTTCGGTCCGAACGGTGCTGAGCCTATTCCGGCTCCGTGGCCCTACTATGATCGCATGGAAATCAGCAACGAACTAGCTTCTGGCAAACGTTTCAAATCAATGGAATACATCCCCATGCCATTTGATTCCGACGAATCCAGCCTCCCTATGCCCTCCGTCTTCTAATGATTTCTTCTCGATCTTGATTCGATTCAGTTACATGACTTGACAACAATCTATCAACAATCAATAACCCCCACATCAATAACTTTATTTCCTCGTCATGTCCTCGCTGATCGATCGTCCCAATCATGTTGAATTACCCATTGAGTTTCGTCCTTTCGTCCTTTTGTCTTTTCGTCCTTTCGTCTTTTCTTTCAGTTCGCCCCAAAAACACGAAAAACCAAAAAAAAAAAACAAAACAAAAACAAAAAACAAAGAAAAACAAACCAAAACAAAAAAAAATATTTGTTTTTTGTCTTTCATGCGACCAATACTCCTGTACGAATAGTTTGATTTTTTTTTTTTGTTTTCGCTCATGGCAAGTTCTCAGGAACTGAGCTGACTGGCTTTCTTTCCCACGGGGTTTTCCAGACGCTCATTTCCTGCCATTTGAGCTTTCATGTACTTAAGTGCAATTGAATTTTGCTCCAACTGCTTCCTCTGTAATCGTAGTCGCTTTCTACTCTGTCGTCTCGATATACTTGCAGATCGGCACTTGGCATGCAGGGACATGCATGTCCCTGCATGTACGGCCCGCTTTACAAAATCTATTTCGAAATGTAGGCTATGCATTCAAAGAACCAATTTGCATTCGCTATGGGAAAAGACACTGACTAAGGAGAGAAGGTGGGGCGCAAAGTACACGATACGAGACTCCTCACAATTGGGATGAATATACACAAAGACAAATGCGACTTCCCTAATCCTCCTGGTAGGAGATCTTGCGCATTTCGCCCAGACGCTGGCGTGCGCGAGCGAGACCGTTCTCGAGTTGGAGGATTTCGACCTATTGGGAGGAAACATATCAGTATTGGATGGATGGGATACAAGGAAGGGTCACCTACCTGCTGCTCCATCTCGCGGACCTTGAACTCATGCGAGCTCAACTTTCCATAATCCTCCCCTTCGTCACCGTCGCGGTTCTTCTCCTTGATGATGTCCTGCACCTGTCTCACAAGTGCACGGCAAGCGGCACCAACAGCCTTGCTAGCGGTTTCCAGGCGGTCCTGGGTCTTGCTCATGAATGTTGCCTTGACACGACTGGCTGCGACAAGCTGGGCAGTGCTGGCTGCAACATCGTTAGAGGCGACGATGAGCTGCTCTGGCGAGTTACGACCCGAGATTACACCGTCGGCAGTCTCGATCAATGTGTTAGTCGAAGAGGCAACTGCTTTGGCAGCAGAGATCAATCCCTCTGTCCAGCGGTTGTTCTTTTTGTAGAAGGCAGTTCGAGACGAGCTACCACGGCCTTCGCGAACAATCTCCTGCTGAGTCTCTGTGGCAGCCTTGATCAGCTCCGAAATTGCGTTGGTGACAGCAATGGCTGCAGCAAGGATGACATCGTTGATGCGCAGCTCGTAAGTCGAGTACCCGTCACGGGGCTTGTTCTTGAGCTTGGCCAAACGCTGGGCAGCTGCGTCAATGGCATCGGCAGCCTTGAGCAGCTCCTGGTCGACAAGGTCACCCAGATCACCATTGGTGCTGATCTTGGTATGCTTGGGGGCGAACGAGTCAACCAACTTCGACAGCGCCTGCAGATCACGCTGGACTTCGAGGTTGTTGTTGATAACCACATCAGTCTTCTGCAGTGGTTCCAGACCTTCGAGACGGAATGACTGCAAGCCACGGAAGAACCGCACGGTCGCCTGAGCAGACTTTCGAGCAGCGTTGACCAGATGATCGGAGCTCTTGTCGTCGGTGGCGAAGCGGATGAGACCCTTGGTGTTGCTTAACACATCGGAAACAGATCCAGAGAAGACAGACACTGTGCGGATAATCTCAGCATGGGGACTGTTAGGGCCATCGGCGATAAAGTTGTTGAAAGCTGTTGAGAACTCGGTGGCAGAAGCCGACGCCTTTTCAATCTGCGAAAGCACATATGGTGGAGAGGCATTTTGGTTACCAGCCTGCATGGACGAGTCCAGTTCATACAGAGCATCGTCGACACGCTGCACACCAGTCTGCAGCACGGAGTCGATAATGTCGTTAATCTTCGCGACTGCGCCGTGGAGCACAGTGTCAATCTGGCTGTCCAGCGCATGGTCAACATCGCCTTGGCTCTACAGGGGAGCACAGTTAGTATGCAGGTATCGAATGTTGTCAAGATCACCACTTACCAGTCTCAGCTCCTCCAGTTCCATAAGAGCCTGTTCCATGCCAGACTTGTACACCTCAATTTCCTCGTCCTTCTCGCGAAGAGACAGGTCGAGGTCTTCCTGGCGGTCATTGTTGCGACTGGAATGTTCGTCCAATGCGCGTGTTTTAATCTACAAGGTCAGCAGTGATCACACACCTAAGCAAAGCGAACAGCTACTCACTCGAAGAGACTCTTCCAGATCAGCCATCTCGCGGTTATACTTGGACAGCAAGGACGAGATCTCAGTGCCCTTTGAGCGTTCTGCGTTCTCAGCACGCTCAAGGGCCATGCGAAGCTCGCGCTTGACCTTCTCCAGGTCATCTTTATTCGTTCCCGTTAGACGGTCCCGGTCATGCAGAGCACGGTCACGTTCCCGAATCATGTCAGCCAGCTCCAAGTTCTTGGTCTTCAACTCGCGCTCCAGCTTCTCTCGTCGGTCAATTGCCTCTTGTGCGGAAGCCGCCTTGAGCTTGAGGCTCTTTGTGGTCTGCAGAAGATCGAGATGCTCTTGTCGAAGCTGTGAGTACAGCTTGGCCAACGCTTCGTACTTGGATCGCCAGGTGTTCACCTGCTCCTGCAGTGATCGTATCTGATCGTCCTTCGAGGCATTCTGCAAGTTCAGGTTCGAGGTCAGGTGGTTCATCTGCTCCTCAACCTCTTTGACCCGGCGGTCATATTGCTGCAGCATCAACTGGTCACGCTCATACTGTGCACGGGCATTAAGGTTCTCCTGCTCTAGCTCTGCGAGCCGACCTTGAGTGTGTGTCTGGTACTGGTCGCGAAGAAGCTGCTCCTGTGCCAATCGCTGCTGTTCCGCCTGCAGACGCTGCTGCTCCTCGAAGTCATTCTGGGCTTGTTGTTGGGCGAGGACTTGCTGGCGTTGCTGCTCCTCCCACTGCTGCTGCAAGCGTTGTTGCTCCGCCTCGTACTCTTCTTGCTGGCGTTTAGCTTCGTTTGTCCAGAAATCGTTGATCGGCTCTGGTTCAGCTGCGACCTTCGGTGGTGGCGAGGGTTGGTGTTCCACTTCTCTCGCCGGACGTCTGGGAAGAGCTGGGCGATCGTCATCTTCGGCAAGCAAACTTGGAGGATCCTGTGGCAACTTCGGGATGGTGATGAGACCTGTCAGGTAACGCAGGTTGGAGCACTCGTAGTAGAATCGAACAAGACGGTGGTGTTGGGCATCATATCGGCCTCGGAGTGGCTCCAGAGCTTCGTCCTCTCCGGTCGCTACAAGAAACATCAGTCAGCGGTTGAACAAATCCAAGTACCAAGGACCACATACTTGTGTGCATGGCTCGCAGCATGCTGGTGATGAACTTGTAAATGCCGTAACTCTCCTGCACAAGTGGCACCAATGCCGAGATCCGACATTCATTGTTTGTGCCGGACTGGAAGTTCGAGAAGATGAGCTTTTGGAAGGAATCGATTTGATCTTGCAAAGCCATCAAATCGGTGATGGTCTCGTAACTGTCTAACTGTCAACATCTCTATCCATAGTCGCAAAGACCAGTTATGTACGCACCCTTCGTTCGGATCGTTGATCGACTTCAAACTAATGTACTCCTCATACTCGAACAAGCCTGCTATTGTCAGACACTTGCCCGCCACAGAGCTTGTCAGTCATGGACAACATACCGTTAAATTCGGGGTGGTTGCGGTGGAAATTCAGCTTCGCCTCGAGGAAGAAGACGTACTCGCGAATGAGCGGCGCATATCCTATCCAGAACTGTCATTATACCATCCGTTGAAATCGTCGCCACTCTTTGAGAGAGCAATTGTGCAAGTCGTCCTGCGTAGAGTCCATACCTCGAACGCCGTCACCTCCGACTCCTCGCATCAAGCTATCAATCCAGTTGGAATGCTGCTGCGCTTCGCGGACAACCATGGGGTGGCCCTCCTGAAGAACCTTGTGTATCGTGATCAGGGCCTTGAACGTCTGGACCTCGTCAGCGAGGACGGGCTGCCTGTGAAGAACGAAGCTGTGTCAGCCATCTCGATAACAGCCCCTTTCCATGTCTGCCGGGTATTCCAAAACGTACACTTTCATGCCAGCCCAGAAGGCCGCCGATGACTTGTGGTCCCATGTATAGACGATGCAGCTCCGCACATGTTTTCCTACAGCGCGGGGGATGGTCAGTTCGATTCGGACGGGGCAAAGCCGAAGCGATATCAATCGATTCGATGAAGGGCAATGAGATATGATCAAGACATACGTTTAGGAGCGGTTTCCTCTGTGTCAAATTGTTAGCCCATCATGCCCACTGTCCCGCATTGCTCTTATTCCCGATTAACGACTTACCGATACTGGTGGCCTTGCGGATATTGATGGCCAGATCGGCCTCGGTCCTGCGCAATCCAATATCAGACAAGCACTCTCAAAGTACCATGTCGGTCCTGCTTACCGACTCATTGTGGCCGTTGGGGTATGTGCTCAGGGGGAAGTGGAAGAATGTCGGAAGGTTTGTCGCGTTGACGGTCTCGAACCCGGACAGCGCACAGACGCTATAGATAGGTTGCGCTGACCGGAATAGGCGGATGATTTGAATTGCAAAGCAAAGGGAATTGGTGAAGCACCAAAAAAGACACACGTGGGAGTTCGAGCAATGACGTTGATGGGGAACGGGAAAGCTGGCGCCTGTCCGAGAGTCTTGGCGACGCCTAAGCCGATGCGGGTTTGGACTTCAAAGGCTTCCTTTAAGATTATCTCAAGTCTACGCGTCAAACATACATGTTGCAGGCCAGGCAGCAAAAATATGTGAGGTATTCTTCTGGGGTTATGCTACTATCTATGTCTACGTGGTCTACATTGAAACAACTAAAAGTCGGGATGGATAGATATTATTGGATATCGGATTAGCTACGAACATAAAAGAGTTACATATGGGATCTGAGATAGTCTGCGCGAAAGAGCGATCGCATGCAGGGATAACCAGCCCGACATGGAGTTATGTCTAGCACGGTAATATGACCAAGAAATCAGGATAAAGTTCAAAGGGCCTCGCCATCCAATTCGATAATCACATGGGTCGATGCGGATCAAAGGTCCAGCGTCCCCAGCCCTACATTTCTTCCCTCTTTCGTGTCGAGCCAAAGGGAACAAGCATTACGACGAGGGTACTCCCACCCTTCCAGTAGATGACAAGGCCTCATGGCTGCCTGGGGTTGAAGAGGGCGCCTGTTCAACAGAGCGCGGGGTTTCAACAACAGGCAACTCCTCTTGTTTTTCAGAATCAGCCTCAGGCTGTTCGGCCTTTAATGATGTCTCGCTTTCGATAGGAGTCGGGGCTATCAGACTAGAGTCTGATTCCGGGTCACCAGGGGCCGGGCTATTTGGCTCAGATTCTTGAGGTGCCTCCACCACGAGCAGTTCGTCAGTGCCTTGGTCAACACGCACTTCAGGGGCCATTTGTTTCCTGCGAGGTAAAGGTGACGGTGGGGACTGTTGGTCTCCCGTCTTGGGGCGTTCAGGCACTGTGTGAGCTGCCACAGGTTTACGCTTGGGTAACGTTCCTGCGTTTCTCTTCAAGGCATATTTATCTGGGCGTGGCAAGGGTGTTCCAAGTGGTGGATGAGGATGACCACGCCCAATTGGTTGGTTAAGCGCTGTGGCTGGAGGAGCCCGCGACGCTTCTTGGTTGTTATTTGGATCACCTTTGCCGAACACGCTCCAGCCCCATTTCTTGGCAGCTGCAGTGGCTTGTCCTAGAGTCATTGGACCTGGAGTTCTGTCGTCGGAAGGAGCAAAGGTTTTGGTGATGGTTTCAATCGTGCTGCGTCGTCGAGCCGTGTCGCTGGCAACGGACGTGGTGGAACTACCGCGGGAGTTTCTCAGGCTAGAAAAGGACCCGCTCTCCGTGCGAGTAGACGAAGGTCTTTGAATAAGACTTTCATGGGTAAAGCTAGCGCTGTCGATAGAATCTGGAATCGATGACTCGCGGCTATGGACCGCATTTTCTGGCATCATAAGGCCACCTGTAGGTGGCGAGGTGCCTGGAGTTCGTTGCGGGGATGTAGGTGGGGATCGGTTTGATATCTCTATCATGGCGCTTGTTGCATGACTCCTTTCTTCGCCTTTGTTCTCTGAAGCAACCTTGTCAACCTTTGCATTGTCTGCTGTGACTATAGGGTCTGCGGCGTGAGAGAAAGTCTGTGACCGAATAGCTCGAGGCAGCTGTGTGCTGTCCGATCTCTCAACACTAGTGGAATTTGCAGTGGAACTGTTCGATTGCAGATCCGAGTGGGAAGATTTCAGATCTTTGCGTGGCTTTTTCTTAGCCGTTCCAGTTCCGGACTCAGAAAGGATAGGCATGCTCATCGTGCGATCGTCCTTGGACCTGAGGACTTCAAGTGGATCACTAACGACGCTCTTCGGTGTCGGGGGAGCTTCGCTGGATTCATCGGGTATCTCTGGTATCTCTACCTGGGCACTCGATTCTGGGATGTCTTGCTGCCATATGCCACCGCGGAAAGCCTGCCCGGAGGTATTATGGAATGGAATATCGTCCCAGAAAGGCAGAACAATGCTCTCTGCCACTACTTCGCGGATCTTACTCTCGATGGTGCGCAGGATGAGGCCGTATGTAATTTGTTTGGAGCTGACAATGGGTTCGATGTCCATTTCCATCTTCGGTGTGGTTTCGAAAGACATCCAGATGCGATTGCTGGGTGGGGGTTTGAAGCGTACCAACAAATGGCCTTCGAGTTTCTTCAACACAACGGCAAGGACAATGTCGACCTCCCTAGCCTTAAAGCGAGGGCCCAAGTCAATGCGCACAGTCGCTGAGATCTCAAGCCGGAAGTTTCCAGTGTATTGCAGATCGGCCTCCACGCAGCAATTGCCGTCCACCGTCAAGTCCTTCAATCTTGGGTTGGTGATAAACGGAGCCCCCTCGCCCATATCAATTCTCTGTAAGCCGATCTTGCTAATGAAATTGGGTTTGTTGACGCGAGAGATCTTCTTGACGATCTTGCTCCGCACGGATTCTTCCAACTCGGGTGTCCGGTACATCGCTAGGAACCACCTTCCAAGGAAAGCATTGATCCAACGTGTCTGCAATTGCTCTTCAGAGGAATGCAGGCGCTGAACCAATGTGACAATATGCTTAGTATCGAACTCCTGGTGCTTGGGCGGCCGGTCAGACGAGTCCCACAGCCGATTTTGATTCTGCAGCATGGCGATATAGAAATCCTCTTTCTCAGACAAGTTTTCAGAAAAGAGGTAGAATGGCGGAGTCGGTCCTCCTAGGTCACCAAGCGAAGCCAGTCGCCGTGAGAGGCAGATGGCATTTCTTTTGAGCCACAGCTCCCCTTCTGGGATATCACCTTCTTCTCCGCCGTATATGGTCACATCGTGGTGAGCAAGCGAAATGACGTACCGCACCTCCACCTGATTTACATCATCATAAAGCATCAAATGACCATGTCTGAGGAGACAACATCGAATGTCAGTAAATCGGCACTCAGGTTACAAACTATACATCTAGACGAAGAGATGCGTACCGGAGAACAATGTAAAAGACGTTCCGCCCCCGTCTAGTGGTCTTTCCATTCGCCTTCGCCGGATCGATGCTGGGTGTCTGCTTTCGATCAAATAGACTCCGGTACATAGTCTGGTACACACTAGGACTTTCGGCCGCAACAACTTCCCCCGCGGGGGTCGTTCTCTCCGGGGGTTTCCCATTCACACCACCGGGAACATATTCACGACAGACAGCAAAGTATCCAGCAGCAACATCAGACTCGTGAGTGCGATGAAATTTCTCTGCCAGTTGGTCGGTGCCAGACTTCAGACTAAAGTCGTGATCGGTAGGTTGGCGGACGGGGTCGAACGCTTTATCGCATGATTGTGACGGTTGCGGCGCAGATGGAAGGGTCAGATAGGCATGGAGGAGGATTAAGGACAAGACTAGCGGAATGAAAGTGATTCCACCAAGGGCGTAAACGAAGAGGAAGCTAGCGAGCGAACCCATCGGGAACCAGTCGATCAATGTGGGCGGATCGAAAGCTCCATAGTTTGGGAGAGCGACCTCCGACAGCTAAGAAAAGACACAGCAAATGAAAAGAGACCGGCTCTGGAATAAAATGAGTGAGATGAGGGATAAAGGGTTATAGCGCGCAAGAGAGTGAGTTGCAGGGAGTTGCAGCTTCCACAAGCATGACGGGATGACGGAGGTGTTGTGTACTTCATCTGACAGGTTTTGTATTTGTATTTCAGTTTAAGTTACTTTTATTACAGTACATTCCTTTGTATTTATATTGTATTTTATATACATACCATAACATTACATGTAGATCCATTCGTACCCCGCTTGATCCGACCAGCTGTCAGGAACCTGAAAGGAACCTCGGGAATCAACAACCTCATCTGTTACCGTTTTAGTCAATGCAAATTGTATATGGTCGAACCCTAGATATTTATGATAAGGAATTGGCAATATATATATTCGATAATTCTTCACTTTATGTAGTGCAACTGTGACTTTAAGACCTAAATTATAAAGCGTGTGATAAGAGGTCTCATACTTAAAATATGTTATACAGCACCCTGCATTCTAGAGATCACGCTGACAGCGTTTAACATCGTGATGAGCGGATTTTGTTTTGTTTTGTTTTTTTTTTTTTTTTTTTTTTGCTTAGAACATAACAAAATATATCCATTGGCCACTTTTATATTTTTTAGAGATAATAGAATTTAAAATTTAATGTTGTAAGTTTTTTATATTTTTATGAGAGGATTTTTTTTTTTTTTTTTTTTTTTTTTTTTTTTTTTTTTTGCTTAGAAGATATCAAAATATATCGACTGGCTACTCTTTCCTAATACAAATCCATTGACAAAGAACTAATGTATACGACATGTTAAGAAGCGAAGAGAGGAAAATGCTTCTATTGGTGAAGATCAAATATATATCCAACCATCTAAGACATCTAAGTGTACACAGGCATATAGAGAAGGAAAAAAAGACAGTCATCTGAAGAAACAAAGAATGAGCAAGCTGAAAGACAAAATATGTGTACATGGGAGCGCAGTCTCCTCTACTTCCTGCGATTCATGGTCTTCTCGCACATCTCAATGAGACCGGTCTTGGCATCACTGTCTGGGAAGTCACTGATGGCGGCAATGGCCTTATCGGCGTATTCCTGGGCCAGAGCACGAGTCTGCTCAACACCATTGCTGCGGTAAACGAGCTCACGAGCCTAGTGGAATCAAATAGTTAGTATTATACCAAGACCACGGGCTAATTTGAAACAATCACCTTCTGCACATCACCCTCTTCGCAGAACTTTCGTCCGACCAAAGGACCGAGCTCCGGGTTGCTCTTCCACGCAAACAAGAGTGGGGCAGTCGCCAATCCAAGCTCCAGGTCTGCACCAACAGGCTTGCCCATCTCTGCCTCGGTGACTGTGTAATCCAACATATCATCAACAAGCTGGAAAGCCAGGCCCAAGTTGCGGCCATAGGCGTACGAGGCCTCGATCACCTCGGGGGCACTCCGTCCCAGAACCGCAGCAGAGCGGCAAGACTTGCTAATGAGACTGGCGGTCTTCAGGTAGGTCTTCTGGAGATAGTAGGCAAGTGTCTCGTCGGTGTAGACGGGTTTTGATTCATCTTGCGCAGTATTCTTCAGCTGCATGAACTCGCCCTCTACCAGATTAGCAATTACGGTGGCCATGAGTTCGGTGACCTCGGGGTCACGTAGACGAGCGAGGGCTACCGAGGCACGCCCAAGTAGGAAGTCACCCGCCAGCACTGCCATCTTATTTCCGAATGCAAGGTTCGCCGAGCTGTTGGCACGACGTGTCACAGCATTGTCGATAACGTCGTCGTGCAGGAGAGATGCTGTGTGGATCAACTCCGTGATCTCGGCCAGCCGCCGTTGTGAAGGCAGGATATTGTCATCTCCGGCGATGTCATATTTGCCCTCGGCGTTCGGGGCCACGAGCGGGTTCATTTCTGGGTTGGCGTCTTCGAGGATTGATGGCGCACTGAAAGAGGAATCGACAGGGCTCGGTTTATCCGTGTAGGTGTGGTGCTTGCGAGGATCTAAAGCTGTCGCTTGGGACATGAGAAGGACTAGCATGGGCCGCATGTGCTTGCCCTCACTATGAGTGTAGTATTTGGCGACCTTGTCCAGCGCCGGATGGCCCGATCCGAGCAATTGTCGGATGTTCTTGGTGAGGAACTTGAGCTCTTTTCCAACCATTCTCAACGGGTCGACCGAGATACCGGGAGGCGCCTTCGGCATACCCTTGAAGATGGCCTGGGCCGCTGACACAGCAGCTCCGAATGGCGAGGCATCCCGCCGGCGAGTCGGGTGGTATTTGCGGGATTGGAGGGCAATATGCGTGAAACGGAGGTCATCGCGGAGGCATTGGGAACAGACAGTGGTTCGTGATGAGAGAATCAGCCCGGTGGCCGATGCGGTTCGAGCTCCCATGCTCAATGCGGGGGGAGGCTTTTTTAATTATAAACGAGAGAATCCAAATTAACCATAGGAACCCAATCCCAGAAAACGTTAACGATGTGAGGTTTTTTTTGCGGAGTACAAGGACGAACAATCTTGCGGGCGGGAAGATTTCGAGCTCTCTCGGGTCGGCACGGACCCGGTGCTACGCAGCCTATGACTCGGCCTTTTACAACTTTTGTACTTCGACAGGAATAAGAGAATAATGATCCAAATTAGAAATTCCAAATTTACAAGTCTTCTTGACATACGATTCTAATCAAGGCACAAGGCAAGAAATAATTCCAGTATAATAGGGAAGACTGCGCCGCCATTTTGGTCCTGCACATTCCCCTACACATCCGAATATAAGAGCCAGAATAAGGAAAACAACTTGATTAACGCACGGGTTAAAAAAAAAGGGCCGCTACGAGGTAGAGACACATGCATGGGACCAGTGCGGTAGAGGGGGGGGAAAATGCTGAATTATGGAACAACCACACTCCTCTTTAAATGGCATCGAAATCACCACCGGCATCTTCATCATCCATGTCTCCCTCCTGGATCTCCTTGGCAAGCTCACGCTCTCGTTCCCGAGCTTCTTGGGCACTCTTGAGCTCCAGGCGGTGCTGGTTCATGGGGAAACGCATAGCCTGCGATTGGACGTATATTAGTAAGGACAAAATAAAATTATTCAGACAAAGATAACATACCTTAACACTCTCATCGTGGAGGGCGAGACAAGCGCGGATACGCTCGTGGAAGGCCTCGCCAGGTTCTCTAGTGGCGTATATATCACCCACTTCTTTGCTCTTCATGAACCCGTGCTCGTGATCAAGTGTGGCCTCAATGACACCATCCCGAATAGCCTTAGCCACAATGTACTCAGCAGATTCTTCGCTGTCAAGTCCGAGACGAAGACAGATATCACGCAGAGAGATACGGGAGTAAGATAGCGACATCATGCGAATACCGGTCTTGATTACATTCTGTCGCAAACGCAAGATCAAGGTGTATGTGCCATCCTTCCGGAAAGTCTCACTGTGGGTGGTGACAATGTTGAGGAACGCATCCAAATCAGCAACACTGACTGCCTGAGAAAGCAGCAGATAAGGGTGCATGGCCCGTTCCAAAGCCGGCTGGCGGAAGACTGCGCGGTCAGGAATATCACCCATCAAAAGCTCGACAACGACCAACAACTTGTGGGAAGCCTGGTAGAACCCACGAGCAACCTGGCTAGCAGGCGACTTGCGGGTAGCCCCAATCAGATGGCTATGAGCCTCAGTGTATTGCAGCTGGATGGCACGGATGCGGCCGAGATAGAACATATACCGAGCAATCTGATTGTTAGATGCAGCCACGGGGAATGGGTTATGAGAGATCAGTAGATCTGCCTGTGAAATATGAGACGTAGACAGGTAGTTGCGAAGAAGCAAAGTCATCACAGTAGCCTGTGTGTCAACATCTTTCCGGAGCACAGCCGTGCGCAGTGCCGCCAACAATGGCTGGCGGATAGTGGTAACAGCCGCTGCAGGAGAAGGGGGAAGTGGAGCGGTTTGCTCGAAGAAGAGAGAGTAGTAAAAGTACACGCGGGCGGCGAGAGAATCCAGCGTACGGCGGTTCAGTACTCGCAGGCGCTCAATCAAGCTTGTCGAGAACTGAGCTCCCTTCTGAATCTCCCGTTGGTCAAACAGGTATATCTGGACAAGGATGGAGAGATATGCATCCACCTCGGCAAGGGTCTCCTTAGGGATAGGCTTCTTATCCGAGTCAATCTCCATCTGCGAACTAGCTGTAGCATTCTCGAAAGCATTGGCTTGTCCAAGAGCTTCCAACAGGAACGAGGCGGTCGAGCTAGAAGCGGAATAGGTTTCCACGATGACTTCGGCGAGGACCTCCGGGGTGAGATGTTTCCGCATCGACGATATCGATCGCAGAACACGGAGGGTAAATCTAGGGTCGAAGTGGGCAACGGCTCGCTCGAGCAAGGTGAAGTTGGATTTGATGTCTAAACCCATGTCAAACAAACAGGCATTCGTCGTTAGAAATTTGGATTTAGTTTGAGCAAGAAGACTAGACGAACCTTGAATCGCCTTGGTTGTCGGGTCGACCTCTGGTTCGGTGTTCTCAACATCACCATCCTCCGCACCTTCCATTGTCACATCCTCCTCCTTATCCTTGCCGGACGATCTGGAACCCTTGGTCGGGGGCACTACAACAGTCATCTTCTCGTTACTTTTGCGGTCCTTGCTGGCGTTGGATGAGGATGTAGGCGCACCTGCCGTATCCTCTCCCATCTCAACATCTTCGGATCCATTCACACTGTTCTCGGTTGACTTCGAGCCATTCATATGCGACTGATCATCTTCTCCCATGTTGTCGTTTGATGCGCCCTTTGCGTCTTTCTTGGTTGAAGCTGACTTGGCTTTGTTGGCGGCGGCGCGAGTGGTGGGCGCCTTGTCTTTCGCACCCGAGCTCTGGGAATTCGAGTTTGCCTTTTCACCGTTAGCGGATGAAGAGCTGTCGGGTTTATTGTTTGATCGCAAAGAACGCCTTTCGGCCGGCATCTTTCTCAAGCTGTGGAGCTCAGCTGGGTAGCCACCAAGCTATCGGAAGAAGTAGGGGGAAGGGTGAGTGAGCACAATATGGAAATAGGAAGTAGAAAAGCAATTTCAAGAGATCCAAGCTGCCGATATCACGAAGTATGATGAAGAAAAGCTTGCGCGGACAGATGGATGAAGAGGATGGGTGATGTGATGTCAAGAGATGGGATGAACGGGCGCAAGAGACCAGATGAGCGCTTAGTCAGTGGAGCTTACCGGGCGGTCTCAATTCGGGGACTTTTGCTGTCGAAGCTGTTAGAAAGACAATAAAAAATAGATATTAAAAAAATAGAAAATGGACAAAAAAATAAAGGAGTACGGCCTTTAAAACTGTATCAAATTGGGTACGTGTTTAATCAATTCCAGTGTGACTAGACGTGGTTGCCGATACACACATTCTGAATTTAATGCCTCAGGCATAATAATATATGCTGCTTTCCTGAAGTAAACAAGTGCGGTGCAGTGTAGAGCATTCAACCACTCTTCCTTCACAATCCAGAGCTTCAAAACATCTGCAGATATGCCACTGCTCAATTCCCACCTCGAGCAGATTACGCTCTCTTCCAATTCTATTGCTGATTTGCCGTTAGTACTTGTGATATCCTCTTCAACCATGTTGTTTTGACTAACGCAAGTCTAGGTTCCCTCCCCCACGTATTTTCACCACTGCACTTTTGGGTTCCCACGACATCACCGCCTTAATCCGTGACACTGAAGCCCATGAACGAGCACTCTTCCAGGTTGATCCCTCTACCAAGGCGCAGGGATCACAAAGACGCGCTACACGACGCGGGACTATGTTCACCGCTGAGACTGAAAAGGATTCGATGGCGAGCCGAATTTATTCAGCGCGGGACAACCGCAACCAGTCTGCCGTGGCAAGGGTATTGGGACATGATATGATGGAAGAGATCAAGCGATCAGCGGGCACCTCTACTAGAGGACCCCATAGGGAGGTCAACATTGAAGTGCTTCTTCGAGGCGCCGAGATGCTATGCAATGTTTAGTGAGTGCCACATATCTGATAATCAGTCTTAGTTTAAAATCTAATCAGCCCAAAGCCCCGTTGCCGGTGCACAGGAAAAGATTGCCAACCTTCGCTATCGGCATGAGACGATCAGTGAGTCTATAGCGCAGTTAGAAGGTCGGGTTGCAACGAACACTGCAGAACTGGATCATATGAGGCTCTCTTATGGAGATGATGAAGATGATTTTTCACCTGCACCGGTAGCGCAATCAGAGATTCCAGAGGTCACCAACGAGGATATTGAGCAAGAGTTGGCCGAAATCCGAGCATTGGAGCAGAGGAAGCGAAGGCTAGAAGAACGAGTTATGGGCATGGATCGAGATCTGGGTGGATTGATAGGCTGAGTCTTTTCTTTTGCCATGATTATATTCCTGCATTATGGAAGATTTTCTTTGGCCTCTTGCCTGTCTCCTCGTCCACCGGAAAAGGACATCATGCTCTGTGGTAAACTCCCGGGGCTGGATACCACCACTCCCTCTCATGAATGAGCTTTCTAGTTCATGGCTCGTCACTGGGTCAACCACGCCCTAGTCATGTCTCCGATGGTGATTGGTGACAACACGGTCTGACAAGTTGTTATACCCAGCCAGAATATGCTCACCAGTGGTATAGGCTGTTTCTCTTACCGAACCTTTGTTCTGAGAAAAATTTACTGCTGGATCGCACCAAATTGTCATCAATCTAGATGCGCCTCGCGTCCTGCATCAAAGTCATTACCACCAACAACCCCCAGCTCGTTCCGGTCTTGTTCATGCCAAGTTATCCATGAGACATATCATTTACAGCTCTTCAAGATTTACGATAGTTATGATTATCAATATCAATACATTCTTCACAGTATTATTACTTGGTATCAGGTGTATCATTCGTGTACTCCATATGTAGGGAATCCCCTCTGTTATTTCTCCCGGTGTTAGGTTACTCTTTCCATTTTAGGGCTCCCCTCTTGCCGGTTCTTTTTGTCCACAAAGTAAACTGAATATTCCCAGGTCATCTAAGATCTATATCCAGTTCATCGAAGTATCGATGAACTGGACATAGATCTGTGGCTAGGCACGTGATAATCCCTCAGGGCCTTCTAGGAGTAATGTGTATGCCATAATCCAGCTGCACATTATTCGATCTAGACAATCACAGGACATCACAGGTAATAAGCATGGCAAATTGCACAAAATCATATATACGAGATTGTAGTTTGTCAAAGCCTCCAGGGATTGTTAATAGGCGGATGCCAAGACCGGGCCCAACCTCCCATCACCGCCATCGAAAGTAATCTGCCAAAGCTCTGCATTCGGACTTGCCTATTCCGCCATTTTATGCGATAACGTGTAGTGCCTTATCGATATCCAGGCAGGTGTGACTGACTCCAGGAGCAGAACAATAAACAAAGACTATTTCGCGATAATCCTGTCTCCGTTTAGCTCCTGTCCTTGAATCCTCAGAGTATCAGTACATCATCGCAGAGATGGATGGGTCTCAGGGCCAAGTTGGACAGGCAATGGGTGCCCCGCAACCGCAGCAGTCAAATCTGATTCGGACCGACCAAGTGCAGAAGCTACCGCACCTCAGTGACCAGCAGAAGGCCCAGCATACCCAGCTAGTGCGCAGCCTCTGGGATCTGATGAATACCCGCGATCCACAGACCCACGAATACCAACAGGCGCATACGAAGCTCTCGCAGCTATCCCAGAACTTGATGAAGGGAATGCGGGTTTTCCAGCAGAACCGACAACAGGCAATGCAGCAGCACCAACACCAGCAGGGAGCAGTGCAACAGGGACAGCCAGGACAACAGCCACAGCAAGGGCAGCAGCCACAACCGGTACAACAAGCTCCTCAGGGAACGCAGGGGCCACAAGGACAACCGGTCCAGCGAACGCAATCCAACAATCCGCAGACGATCAATCAGCTCATTCCGCAAATCCAAGCCCGGGTCAGCGCGCTCAATTTTTTCCTGCCTCCGAACGTGACCCCCGAGCAGGTGCAGACCTGGATACCCGAGGCTCGACTGCGATATGGTATCGCTCTTCAGAAGCAGGAGGTTGGACGGGCTCGTATGGCTGATCTTCGTTCCTCATATGCTCAGCGGCAGGCTCAGGGCAATATGAGCCAAGAGGAAATGCAAGAATTCAAGAACCGACAGTTGGCGGCTGAAAAGCTGTTCCGGGAGGGTAGCGAGTTCTTGAACAAGTTCAAGGAACAGCAGGAAAGCTTCAAGATTCAATCACAGCAAAATCCACAGAATCAGGCGATGAATCAGGCGGCACAGGCAAATACGCCTATCAATTTGAACCAAGCCCCAGTCGCTCCTCCCGTATCAAGTCAAAGTGTGCCAAATCCGCAGGTAGGAGCGGCAGCAAATTCCATGCAACCAGGGCAACCTCAACCTCCAGCTCCCCATACTATCAACTCGGCGGTCAACGCAGCACGCCAAACTGCCATGTCCCCCTCTGCCTCCCAACCTGGACAGCCATCTACTGCTCAATCTGCTGGAAACACTCCAGTCCCAATCAGTGCGCCACTTCCTCAAGTGCAACGTCCACAGACATCATCTCAGCAAGGAACTCCAGGAGGGCAGCTCACTTTCAGCCAAACCCCCCATCCTGACGGTTCCACCCCCACGCCACCAGGGCCTTCCCAACAGGTGAATCAAGGCCAACCTCGTCCTCTCTCACACCAAGCTGCTATCTCCCAAGCTGCCCAGACCTACACCAATCCTACCCCCCAACAACAAACAATGAATCAACAAGCCCAGGCCAACCAGCAGGCTCACCCCCAGGGTTATCTTGCCAACCGTCCAGGTGAAGCATCTACCCGCAACACCAACATGGCAATCCCCAAGAACCTGCACGTTTCAGCCCCCGAGCCCGTCTCGATGCCAGGCTCCCGTCCCTCTCTTTCTGGCGGTCCCAGCCACGGTGCCATGGGCATGATGGGCCAGCCTGCGATCCAGAAACACCCTGGCTACGTCCTCGAAGGTGAAGGCCAGCGTGTGCTGAGCAAGAAGATGCTCGACATCCTCGTGCGCCAGGTCACCGGTGGCGGCGAAGGAGAAATGCTGACACCAGATGCGGAAGAGGTAAGTTTTTCGACCCTCAAAGTGAGAGCTAAATAAAAAAAGATCAGAAATGTTAATATTTCCCAGTTCATCCTCCAAATGGCTGACGACTTCGTCGACGAAGTCATCACCCAAGCCTGTCGTCTCGCCAAGCTGCGCCCTTCCTCGACTCTCGAGCTGCGCGATATCCAGCTTGTCCTCGAGCGCAACTACAACATGCGTATCTCCGGCTTCTCTACCGATGACCTCCGCACCGTCAAGAAGCCTCAGCCTACCCAGGGCTGGACTCAGAAGATGTCCGCTATCCAAGCCGCTAAGGTCACTCAGGGCAAGAACGAGTAAGATGTAAATGCAATTTACATCACGGCTGCTGTCGCAATCTTGCGTTCAGTCGGGCTGGTCTGCCTTGCTTTCGTTATGTCGCACGCTTTGCTTTGCTTTACGTCTCAATTTCTTTTCTCGGAGGTCAAATGGGGGGGTTTTTTTTTTTCTTTTTCTGTTTCTACTTTACCCTTTCGATTGATTCTCCTAAGAATATGGCGTTTACGTGATGAATGGGCAGGTCTTACATATCTTTTCTTGCGTATCTTGTGTGCCTCGTGTTCAATCATGGTTGGAAGGGGTTCTTTCTGGTCTCTTAGATCCATCTTTGCTTTCTTGCGGCCCAGTTTATGCTGTGCTTGAATAATGAATTGCCTACCCTGGCTTATCTAGGTCTATTTTGGTCCGTGTGCTTATAATTTGTGTGCATTTGGTCTTCCCTTTTGGCTCTAGGCTCCTCTACTCCAATCTTGGGATGTAGGCACATTAAGCAAGTCAAACCCTAGTATCAAGTCCCACTTAGGCAGTACCATGATATCCCACCTGCGCACCGTAACTAGGTTGTTACTATCTGTACAGTTTAGTGTCCACGGAGTTTGCTAAGCATCTACTTTACGACTCGTTGGCTTTACCGTCTACAAAATTATACAATCAACATGAAAAGAAGTAGAGTAAGGAAGTTCCCACGTTGGATTCTGCTAAGTTGGTCATCCTCGGCAAATAAGAAGCACGAATATCGAGAGAAAACATGTGGTATAGTGGTTGGTACAGGGTATGGAGAGAGACTCGATCAAGGAACAAGCAAATCAATAGAAGGGTAAAAAAGAAGAAAGAAAAAAAAAAACAAGAAGCGGGATGCACAGGAGAGATACAATAATAAAAAAAAAAGCGTTCGATGAACGGAGTGAGGACCGGATGCTGGGCCCAGCTGTATTCTTTGGTTGTGGGATTGTTCTTTGAGAACAAGATTAAAGCAAAAAAAGAAAAAAGAAATGAGATGGTTGGTGGAAAGAATGGATCATCGATGCGACGTCAGCACAGGATATGACAATAGCACTTAGTAGGCTGGAAATAAGGTCTGGGTATGATATAGAGAGTGTGGCAACAGTATGTTCGATCAATGAGGGTGGAATCTGTGCAGTCCAGGGGTGATCCGCGGACGGGATAGGATGGCAAGCAAGGCTAGAGAGAATGTTGGCGTTTGAGACGGCGAAGAAAAGAGAAAGAGTTGGTGAGGTTGAGCCTTCGGGCTTCAAGTTTGGGGCTTTGTCCAAATGTTCCGAGTAATCCAGGCGAAAGGAAACAGGAAACACACGAAGAGGCGGAAATGCTCAACAGAAATTACACACATGTCACTCGTGAACATCAGTTTCTTGCGGAAGGTGTTTGGGGAAAGTATGAGGATAGAAAGATGATATGCCTCGCGCAGACCCATGCTGAGGAAACAAAATATGTGGTTCTATCAAGAGCAACAAGGAGGATATCTCGCTGAATACGACAAAAAAAAAACAAGATAAAGAGACAAATAAAGGTATCAAGGGGATGTCAGCCGCTGCAAAAAGCTAACGCCGAGCCTGGCTGGCAGTCAGAAAATTGCTCCGATCAACTTCCTTGCCTTTTTTAGGAGTTGGCGGTGGCGCATCGTGAGGGACAGGAGGTAATTCCTTCTCTGATGCCTGGGGGCCGTGTCGGCTATTTGTGCTGCGCCCTCCAACACTGCTTGCCTCGCCGGCTTCATCCACGATGGGGAGAGTCGAAGTTGGACCAGGGCCTCCCGCGTCTGCTGGGTCCCAGACAGTGGCTAGTGTTCGAGGATGTGTTATTGACACATCTTTCGCTGCCTCCTTCTCTGCTGCCTGCATTGTCCGCTCGACAGAAGAGTCTCTCGAACGTCGCTTTTCGGCTGATTGCTGAGGTGCGCCGGAGGCGGAGACTCGAGACTCGCGTCGCCGTTCGGCTTCTTCCCTCGACATGGTGATTCCCTTGATGAAATTAATGAAGCGCTCTCCGTAGCTCTCTGGCGGGATTGGAGAGATCTGTGAGCGGTCGTGGGAGAGTCCTTTGAAAAAGTTCTCAAGTTTCTTGGTGGTTCCGTAATGAGTCAAGCAATCAATGATGCCCAGGTAATAGATCTCGTCGCCGGGTTGACCATTCTCATGAGTGGCCCGAAAACCTCCATCATCCGCGTAGAAGACATGATATTTCCGTTCATCGAGGATTTCATCTGGCATCTTCGCGGCTGCTTTGTCCAATGGAACAGGCCGTTCACGTTTGATAAGCATGCGCAGCTCCCGAGCCTTGCGTTCATTCTCCAATTTCGACGGAGTGCGCATTAAGTTGTTGGGCGTTGTATCTTCTTCGCGATGGCCTCCTGGCTGAAAGACCTGAAGAGTCTTGTCGCGCAGGTTCTCTTCGTTACCCCTGCCCGCATCATGGATTCCTACCAGAAGAGAATAGTCCATGATCTTGAGTTTCTGAAGCAACACGACGTCACGTTTCAATTGCTCAATGAAGAATTCTCGTTTCGTCGGGCCACATTCCAAGTGACGATTGCGGCGAACCCAGTTCAAGTCCTTCATGGTGGCTCTAGGGTTTCTCTCAAGATCTGACTCCTGCAGATCACGGCCAATGGTCGAGCCCTTCAGGTCGAATGTCTGGTGGATATCCCGGTGGGGTGGGAACAGGTTGTTCATCACGACAAAGTGAATCTTTCGGCCGTAAGCCATCTTGACTCGGTGCAATCCGTAAAATTGTGAGATGAGTGTGTTCGGATTCTTCTCCACGTGCCGGTAGTATTCAGGAAGAATCTTCCGGAGAAGCTTGTGCTCGGAATGGTGAATGGTCTTGATGATGTACTTGTAGTCGCGGGAGAAGTAAAAGAAGCTCCCGCTCTTGCCGGGGGAGCCCAATTCTGACAAGATGTATTTGCTTGTGAGGGACATAAGGTAGTCGGCGGGATCGAGGCGGAACTTGGCGCGAAGGTGTCGGAAAACCCAAGGTGCATAGTCTTTGAATTTGAAGTCGTACTTTGCGGAGGGGATCAGTTCATTTCCAGTGCTGCTGCTGTCAGTAAAGCCCAAAAATGATCAACAATAGAAGGGGGTGCACACATGTCAAAGGAGAACTTGTGTTTGGCATCAAAGTCCGCGGGTGTGAGTTCCCGGTCCATTTTTGCGTTGATTCTTGAGACCGTGAAACGGATACCAGTCAACATGTTGTATGCTGTCACATAGTTGACGTGATTCTGGTCCACCTTGGTCCCCACAATCACCCGCTCATCATCCTCCTCTTCGCGGCGGCGTCGCGAGGCTCGCTTTTGTTTGATGGCTTCGGCCCATCGGGCCGCATCTTCGTCGGGCGGTGCCTCGTCCAAGGTGATATCTTGCTGGGTGCTGTTTTTAGTTGCTCGCCTGATAAGACCGATGGATGCGCGTCGGAAGCCGGTCGTCGGTGACATTCGGCCACTGGCGTACCCAGTATCCTCATTGTATTCTCGGCTATCTCGCCGAACGCTCGGCGTTCTCGGAACCTGCAATGAATGTCGGTTTCGCATGCTGGAGTTCTGGGAATCTGGCACCGAGGCAGCATCGAGTATGGATGAGGTAGGAGGGGAGGAGTGGCGTGGTTGGGTGGGCTTCGAGTTCGGTATCAAGCGATCGGGGTCTGGGGAATAACGACCGGTCTCATCCTGCTGTGGGATTTGTAAAAGCGAGGCGGATGGCGAGATCGATAACTCATCGTAAGGCCGCTGAACGTCTCCATTGACCATGAGTTTCCCCTGGACGGGTCGTCCATTTGCGGTGCCATTGGGTTGTTGGTTGGAAGGGGGTGATGTTGTGGAAATAGCACCCGGTCCATTTTCCGAAGACTTACGGTCCAGCATGGCGGACGGGCGACCGTTCTCGCGGGGATCCCTCGGGGATCCATTGCCTACCGAATGCATGCTGCCGTCCTTGGACAGGGGCGGATCGCGCGTGTACGAGCTGACACTAGATCGAGGGCCATTCAGGGAGTATGCACTACCGTTCTTAAGGTCGGTCAGAAGATTTCGGTCATTCTGGTGAGAATCGTTCACGTCGTTGCCGTTAGGCCAGTTGGTCCACAGGAAAGTATTTCCGACGGAGGTTTTATCGTGCTGCTTTCGAGATGATTCGAAGGAACGAGGATGAGTGGCAGTAGTAGTGGTAGTCTGGTAGGAGACGTCGTGGGAAAAGGATGGCATGTTGAATTTGAGGGAAGGTGACGTTAGTTATGCGTGGACCGGCAACCCGAAGTGACGGCAGTCGCCCTTATTGGCGGGAGATTCAGGAAAGTTATGAACTGGACCAGAGAAAAACAAAGAAAGTATAGAGCCCCAGGGGAAGAATCTTCAACACATAATTCAATGGGAAATGGTGAAGTTGTACGGGGAAAATATGGGGGGGGGGGGGGGAGGAGAAAGAGGTGTGAAGTGGAAATGGTTGGCTGGGAGAGAAAAAGAATTATACGTAAATACCTCCACTATATTTCTTCTATGATATTTATCTTATATTTTTATATTTTAGTTCTATATTATATTTGATAGATATATGTACACCTTTTTCTTCTAATTTTTCAAAGTTGAATTTAGATAATTGTTGTGTTGTCGATATCAGGCTGCTACATAAAAAAAACTCGGATGTTCAAACACTTCACATTAATGCAAGGAGATTGTTACACAACCCCTCTGTTTTTTATATATCAAGACATATATAAGTACTACAATACTAAATACCCTAGATACCTATAAGTCAATTACAATATCAAACAAGCCTTGATAAAGAGATATAGAGAATCGTATTCTGTATGTTCCAAAAATAGGGAAATCTGCGCCACAGGGGAAATTCTCCACTATATAAAAAAACAAAGATAGTAAGGATATGGCTATTCTATTCGGCTAAAAGACATTATATCTATCTTTCATGTGTGTTATGTACATATATGTACTTAATCTCCGACTTGCATTATCTTAACCTACATTTATAGATTGGACCATCTCAATAAACCGCCGAACTTCCTACTGATTTCACTCCAGTGATAAAACACACATGAGACAATAAGTTGATCTGTTTACACACAGTATAAAACCAAAAACCAATTTGAATTCCATAGAATCAGTCACAATATCAAAGTAATAAAACTGCAGTTCCCCATTGCAAACCCCACCGCAGGACGCCATCCATTGGACTTTGGAAAGAAGCAAAGCCATAACGAAGATACTCCAAAAACACACACAAAAAAAGAACTGAAACCAGAGCCAGAGAGGACAAGACCAAAGAAATTACAAAAGAAGGAATCACCAGGTACTCTCCCTGGAAATGCGCACGTGAAAATATAGGGAGAGCTCGAGTGAAAAAAAAAAAAAAAAAAAAGGACATCAAATCCTCTATTTCTTAGCAGTCCGCTTCTTGGGAGCTGCCTTGGTTGTTGTTGGCTGCGGGGCAGTAGTCTTGGTGATACGGCCAGACTTGGTTTTTCCCAGAATCTTGGGCTGCTCAACAATAGCAGGAGCCTTGGAATATTCGTCAGTAAACGGTCAATTAAGGGGGAAGATGGACGCTGAACATCCGGATCCAACTTACGGTGACGGAGGTCTTGCGGGCCTTGCCAGAGTTAGCCTTGGGCTTGGTGGCGGTCTTCTTGGCCGCAGTCTTCTTGGGAGCGGCAGTCTTTGCAACGGCCTTCTTGGGAGCAGCTTTCTTAGGAGCGGCCTTCTTAGCAGCAGGCTAATATTACGATTAGCAGGGAACAAAGGAGTACATCCTCGATGGGAGCTTACCTTGGCAGCAGCCTTAGCAACGGGCTTAGCGGCAGGCTTAGCAGCAGGCTTAGCAGCAGGCTTAGCAGCAGGCTTAGTGGCAGGCTTAGGAGCGGCCTTGACAGGGGCATCCTTCTTCGCAAGCTTCAAGGGGCCAGATGGGCCTAGAGGACGCGTCAGTTACAAGGGTCAAATACCAGACGAAACTAACCGAAACACATGCAGCAAAATACAGTTCACTCAAATCATGAGTAGGATAGAATCAATGGGCGCAGGCGCAGGATAAGAACTTACCCTTAGGCTGAGTGAACTCATTCTTCTCAACACCGGCCTTGATAGCCTTGTTGAACTGAGAGTCGAAGACGCTCTGAGAAGTGACGTTGATCTTGTTGTTAGACTGAACGTACTTCTTGATAGCTTGACGACTAAAATAGGGGAGATTCAGTTAGTAACTTTCTAGAATAGATGGCGCGAGAAAGGGCTTCCCCGAGACATCAAGGGACAACATCAACATACCTACTACCATTGCGTTCTTTCAACTATACACAGAAAGGAACCAAGTCAGCAATGAGAATTAAAAAAATAAATTTTGTTTTGGTTGTCCATGCCCAAAGGCAAAGACGTGTCACGGTCGGGCGCGCGACCCGAATCACAACAACCAAGTTGGCTCGCGCCGGCAGTGATCAACTCACATTAATAATGGCATCCTTGATCATATCTATATTGATCGAATCAGCAGATATTCGCGACCAGATTCATATCCATATCGCTTTTACGCGATATGGTGCGCATTCAGGATGAAGACATACCGCGGTAAGAGGTGTGAGCAGGCGCCGCCTTCTTGGACGCGCTGGTAACCTTCTTAGGAGGCATGATTGATGATTGATTTAAGGTGAGAAAAGGGTAGATCGAGATGATTCAAGTGATCAAGAGATGAGAATAGAAGAGAAAAGAAAAGAAAAAAACGTGGGAGGAGTGAAAGCAGAAGAGGAAGAAAAAGAGCAGAAGGGAAAGGGAAGGCCGCGGGGCATCCGTGATTTATAGGCGACCGGTGTTGACAAGATCATCAGAGAGAGAGTAAAAAAAAAGCGCTTTCTTTCTTTTGGATTTTTCTTTTCTAAAAGGTTATCTTCTAACTAGTTCTTCTTTTTATAATGTTGTGTGTGTCTTGTGTTGTTGTTCTTTTGCGAGTGTCTCTTCCAATAGTTGATGCCTTTCTACACATTCTCAATTATTATGAGATATGTACTTGGAATATTGAAGATATTTTGGAGATATACTGGGATTCTTTTTTTAATATATATGAGAAATAACAGAATATTTTGCAATATTATAACGCGATAATAGTATAAAACTAGGGAAATGGTGCTTCTGCGCGTCCCTTAATCCCCTCGATAGAAATCGCGCATACTCTCCAGGGCTATTTTGGAGATTTTAGGAGGGTTTTGGAGGCATATAATTCTTTTTTTCTTACATTCCAATGCCATCTGGAGTAACCTATCCCTCTTTTGCTAATTCAGAGCTGGAATCCAGATTTGGACCTTTACCTTGATACATCGAATCCTTGTGGGACCTGCATCACCTCGTGCTAAACGCTCGATTTCCGTCTAGATGTCTAGATGATGTCAACACTCACGCATTATATAACTTTTCTATCTCCAATACTTTGGAATATCAAATGGTTTATTTTCAGTCTTTTTTATTGGGTAGATATTGATATGAATAATAGTATGAAGTATGAAGTAGGAAGTAGGAAGTAGTAAGTAGTAACCTGAGCATTTGCACTCTATAGACCAAGATGAATATATATCAAAACTAAAAGAGCAAATATGAATGTATTTTTATTTTTTTTAATTTTTTTTTTTTTCACCCTTCTATGTTCTAGCAAAGTATCAAGATAGTTCAGAAACAACCATTATGAAGCCTAACTTTTAGGGTCAAAGTGACACATGATATATATCCAAGAGAGGGGAAAGCTCTCACACCTGGCAACGCCACTAGTCACATCAGGATCAGCAGACACAGCCAATAAATGACGCAGAATAGCCCCCGATTCTATCATTCCCCGCTGATACTAAAGTTACCGAGAGCAAGAAAGCAGATCGACCCGGGACAGTTGTCTATCCGGACCCATCTGAGCAGGTTCCATCTAAGCAAGTTTTGTTTCAACACAGACGAATAATAAAAATATAATCTCATTGGGCTAAACTCCTACTCTACTACCGTATGATTCCAATCATTGGTCTATCAGCCTAGTTGTGCGACCAAGATCATCGTATCTGCATCCGCAACCGACGCGTCGAATCAAGGGCCTAGCTGGGGAGAACGCTGATCCTGCACTACATCGACTCTTGCTGCATATTTCGAGGGCGTAGAATAATCATGGTAACTAGTGCCAGTGTATATTCTCTAACCTCAAAGTCTTTGCTGCTTTCGCTTGTGAAGATCAGTCGTGGTTGGTGTTGTGAGGCCTCGATTAATCTCGCTAATCGGGCCTAATCTATACAACCCTATACGCGAATGCTGGATATCGACACCCTGCAATATCTACATTAGAACACCTAAAAAGGAGATTTGATATGCTAATATATGGAGAACAAATGGAAGTTAATGAGTAAACAATTTATAGACCTTTCTATCAACTGTGGCCCTGAGGATCAGACGAAAGGCCATTGTCTGCTCTACTTGATCTTGTCTGATCCTGGCGTCCACGGAGCTGAAAAAGATCACTGGAACAACAGAGAAGCATCGGGGTACAGATTTCTCAAGTTCTATTTCAAATCAGACCACTCTTTACTATGATACACGGAACTTCATGCCCTGCCCCGATCCCGAGGCGAAACGGACATTCTCCGCAATGAAAATAATCCAGAAATAATAACAAATAAACCACAGAACGCCCGCGCCAGTCCAGCTCATGTTAGATCAGGAAAGAATTTTGTATCATAAGTTGTTTTTGATGGGTAAAAAAAGAGCTTCTCTCATCAAGAAATTAGGCCGCTCCACGCGGCTTCGCCTTGGCATCCTTCTTAGCCTTGGCTTCTTCCTTCTTTTTCTTCTTTTGCTGCTGTATCTTCTCGTCGTGCTTGCGCTTGAGAGATGCTTTCTCGTCCTCAGTGCGGGCAATGGGCTTGAAGAATCCCTCTAGTCGGGATTGTTGAGCGGTCTTGAGATGCTTCGACAGACGAGCGGCACCGTTGCGCACACGGTCTTCGTTGAAGCCCTTGTCCCCAACCAGGAACTCAACCAGGCCATCGATGTTGGGAGCTTCCCACTTGAAGTCGCATTCGGCGTGATCGGCAGGCCGGACGTCGGGGTTGACAAAAAGTTCTCGTGCATCTTCGTATGGCCAGTCCTCAGGAACTACGAATTTCTTTTTCGGGTCATTCTTCATGAACTCCAAGACCTTCTCTAGAGACTTGTGCTCCTTGATTAAGCTGAGAGCAGTGGTGGCTCCCACCTTGGGAATAGGCTCTAGGTAGTCACAGCCCAGAAGAATACAGAGATCGATAAACTGAATGGTAGATGTAGTTAGCACTTGCGATTACACCCAACATAGTCAGGATACCATACCTGTTTGCGGTCCATATCAAGACCCTCAAGCGCTCGATCCAAGTGGATTTCCTGGATAGGTTCCTTGCGCTGCTCACTGAACGTCAAGTGGCGTAGGAGAATCGGCGATTCAAAGCACAATGTATCCATATCCTCTGACGCAGCCGCGTACACTTTACCTGCACGAGCCAGCACAGCACATTGGGCCTCGGCCTCCGTTGGCGCGTTGATGTAAGGAATTCCCATCAGTCCAAGGAGCTTCTTGCACTCTGCATTGTGTTCACGGGTAACCCGGACAGTTCGTCGTGAGAACTTTTCAATATCCTCTGCAGTTCCGGTTTCCTTGGCCTCTTCATGAGCCTCGGTTGCTTCGGCCTTGCGTGCAACACGCTTCGCCAATTCACCGGACTTGAGCTTCGGCGGGGCTCCGTCGAAAACGTAAAGAGGTTTGATGCCGTTATCCACCATCCGCAAAGTACGGTAGAACATGCCCATCAGGTGGGATGTGGTCTCTCCAGATTCACTCGTGAGCTGTTGGCCCTCCGAGCGCACGGCGATCAGGAAACTGTAGATGCTCATCGACCTATTCTGGGTTAGCGACTAGATATTCTTGATCTACCGGGACGGCGACCCAATGACATACGCATCCTAAATCAAAGAAGTCGAGTGTTAGCATATTATAATATAACCATATTTTATATAAAATCCATACAATTGCGACCTTGCGGCCGAAATGGTTCTTGATTTCGCCCGTCTTGATCGCATCGGGGGCATTCTCGGAGATAACCTGGTACAGGTCTGTGGTTTATTTAGTGAAGAGGCCTGTATCATTGAGAATAAGGTACTTACGTTTAATACCCATTTTGAATGTAAGCTCAGGTTGTCTCAAGTTGGAATCTTGTGTCTGTGTAGAGAGTTGAGCTTGACCTGTCGCAGTACGCGAACGCGCTGGGCTGGAAGCGCGACGCCATTTAAACCTAATTAGGTATAGCGTATCCAAGCATCATGTGACCGGCGACGCCAAGACTAGTTCCTGCCTAAATATGTACATCTGCCTCAGGCGGCCAACCGGCAATGAGTAATTCGGGCCAGAACCGGCCGGTGTGAAGCTTCTCCGACCCCGCCTTTCTGTCTTCCCCGGAATGCGCCAGACGGAGGATGAGTCCAACCTCCACACACCAATATGAAGCGGAATCGCATTCAATTCGAGGCCAATGGCGAAGCCTCGTCTGATTCTCCTCCGCAGGGTGTTTTCACCCCGGAGGACCGCCCTCACCATGTTCCGAAGATCTCTCGACGGATACGGGCATGCACCGAGTGTAAGCGGCACAAGGTGCGCTGTGACATGAAGGCAGCCGAGTCGCTGTGCTCGCGATGTAGGCGCATGGGACTGGAGTGTGTTGTGAACAAAAGCCTCCAAACATTACTTGAGGATGAAGCTGAGTGAGTGGATTATCACCGGTGTTTACATCGGCAATATATACTGATTGCGCTGGCCACGACAGGTGGAAATCAATGATCGAATCGGCAATGACCGACCTGCTCAGGAAATCACAGCTACCGGAGCTATCATACTACCAAGCAGGCGGTGGAACAATCGAGACGCCCTCGAACAAGAGAGGCCGGAAAGACTCCACCGTCTCGACTGATGACAATGGACTTGTACAACACAAAAGAACCGAGATAGTTGGCAGTGCAGTAACAAATGGCACAGCTGCAAGGTCAAACTATGGCTTTCCCCAACAACAGCCTCGATATTCTTTGGACCGCGAGGACACTGGCGCGACCTCTCTGGTCACAGCACCGATGGGGAGTCTGTACGAGGTAACGCAGCTCAGTGAAAACCGCGAGAGCTCGCCGGGGCAAAAGTTTGCCCCCGACCAAGCACTGGTCACTGATCTCATCTCGCGCGGAGTCGTCGATATCCAGGAAGCGGAGGAGCTGTTCTATCAGTTCGACCAGGTACTCAACCGCTACCTATGGGATGGAGCTTTGCTAGCACATAAAGACTTGACGTCTGTTCGAAGGTCTTCATCAATGCTATCTGCTGCCATTTTAGCTGTAACCGCGCTTCACATGCCAACTAAGGAACGCACGTTTGATACATGCTACACCGAGTTTGCGCGATTGGCATCGGAGTCTATGCTGGACCACCATCATACGTTAGATGATATTCGCGCACTATGTATTGGAGCATTTTGGCTTGCGGATGTTAGTTGGAAGCTTTCCGGTTATGCGGTTCGTATTGCAACCGAGCGCAACCTGCATCAGTTCTTTCGCAAAGCCACACAAGGATCGCCAGAACATTTGGAACAGGCGAG